TTTTTACATGTACATGCGTGCACAGTATGGCCTTGCAGCAGCAATGAAACCAAACTAAAAATGACCAGCTTAGCTGGTTCCTTTTCCAGTACAGGAAGCTAAACACACCACCCCCATTTCCGCACCAAATGTCACTTGCTTGAAAATGCCTGTGATCACATTCAACATAAGTCGTCATGTTAAAAATGACAGCACTAAACAGTGAAAACCATGGTCAGTTTTAATTACTGGGTGGGTGTAAATTTAATAAAACCAATACATACAACCAATACAAAAAAACATCCAATCACAGCTTCCAGATGTTTCAATCTGCATTGAACTGCTCCATTCGTCACCACTCGCCCCTTTCCGTGACCTGCAAGAAGACTCATCCCCTATCGATGAATGTTATGTGCGAAAATACGACAAACCAATCAGAGTACGCGTATGATTTCGAGTTCTTTGTCAGAGAATCCCTAAGAAATAATCTAAAATTATACCCAAGACACCGTTAAATGTGTTCAATCATACTGTATAATTCCGCACGTCCCGATGTGCTTTAAATTGCATCTGAAATATATATAATATATGGGGAAATATATGTGAACCATTACGCAACGAGTTGACAATTGTTTTAGTTATGCCCGTTTGCGCTAAGACGGAAACCGGTCGCAAAAATGGCCACGAGAGGGACACGAGTCGCTATTCGGCTTGTCCCGGAATAACACGAGCTGGTCACTAATGTGAACTGCTCGTCAAACGACAGAATCTGATTTGGTGTAGTAGAACGTGTAAGGAGTATATGAAACAACAGAGTACAACGAACCGGGCTCGAGTCTTCAACAAATGGGGATTATCAGTAATGACAATTAAGTTACTCTAGACACATACATGTCATGGCTGCACAGCACTGAGCTTTTTGAATTACACGTTCATTAAGGCAAACGTTGCCACGAATCGGTGGCTATGACATATTGTAGTGATGCTTATATCGAAGGAGTGGTTATAGATCCTTTACCCTTCTGGTGCTTATTGGGGGATACGGGAGACATGAACATGTCGCTTGAGACACTGCTATTCGCTGTGTAGGGTTGCGTCCCTTTGGCGTGACAGAAACATATGTTCGTGGGTTCGAGTCCTCACGACACCCTGATTATGTTTCTTGGTTTGCCACCACAGTACCTCTACTAATCTTACATCTGTTTCACATCTGCGTCACCATGATATAACTGGATTAGTGTTCAAATCAGCAACAAGTGCTTACTGTCCCGTTAAAAATTCCGGGGTAGAATAGGTCTTCAGCTACCCATGCTTGCCGTAAAAGGCGACTCTTCTTGTCGTAAGAGGCGACTAACAGGATCGGGTGGTCAGGCTTGCTGAATTGGTTGATGTATGTTATCGTATCCCAATTGCGTAGATCGATACTCGTAGTGTCATCACTGGATTGTCTGGTCCAGACTCGATAACTTACAGTCCACCGTCATTTAGCTGCAATATCAATGAGTGCTGCGTTTTATCAATAAACAAATACATACACGTGTGCTTACCTCGACATCCTGAAGACAATGTGTTTATATTTGTTAGATGTGCAATTAACGTCGACCTAGTCGACTCTTGTATCAAAAGCTTAACTCGAAGTCAAAACCACAGTGGCTAGAGGTCCATACTTCTGCATCCTTCTATTTCTAAGCCACGCAGAGCTCGAAGTTGTAAGTAAACAGTGATGTTTATTTTCAAGATGTTTCTGTATGGCAATAATGGGTTTTCACAAATGTCATTTTTTATCCAAATGATGTGTTTATTCCTACATTGAAGTAAGTATGTCTCTAACTTTACGTTAAGCTTATTTGGAAGTTGGTCTACATTAGGATAAACTGTGGCCAAGGTATCCAGAACAACAAGAAGAAATAATCACGCTGATATGTTGACATACGCCTGACTTCGTTCGCAAGTTTCAGTTGATAAACGTTATATGCTAAGTGTTAACATATTACATGAATGTTCCATTTAGAGAGAGAGGTAAACATTACTTTATGATGACACGCGTGTACTAAAAGTCTATCTCAGATTGTGTTGATATTCACCTGCCTTCATTCCCAAGTCTAAGTTGATAAGTATTATGTTCTGAGCTTTATGACCAGTTTTAAGAGAAGTAAACATAACTCTATGATAACACGCTCTCAGAATAACTATTATGTGATATTATTCATTTCTGCATACTCATGTCTTGCAAAACTTGAGGTATTCTCTTAATCCAGCTAGTCAAACACTGTAACACCGTTTAACTACGTGATAATTGAACATGCGACCATTTCAGAACCTATACTAGCATCGGTGTGATAAACAGCGGGCTTTGTTCGGGGTACGTCGCTGATGAGATACACTGAATAAAGACCGACCACTAATAGATGCTTCTCTTGGTTGTTCTAAGGTGAGTCACGTTCAGTTCACATATTGTATGTTTTTAAATGTATTCTTATTTCCTATTGCATTCTGTATCGCTGCTTTGAATACACTCAACATTTTAAATAAGGCATTATTGATTTAGTACACCAGTGAATATTTTAATACAGTTAGGTTAGAACATGCATCGCGTGGAATAATACACACTATAGTGTATATTAAAATGGTATAGAATATAATAAAATAATGTTTTAACATAGAAGTACAGAAAATTAATGTTATACAATCGGGCTCGTGTGCATGTGGTCAGGTTTAATGTTTATTGTATGTCGCAAAGTATATGTAAATGAATGTATCTTTTAATAATTACTGGATGTGTTCAATTCAACTGATTCAAATTACCCTTGCTCTGATTAATGTGCGTTGCAGATTAAATACAACGTTGTTATGCTTGATACGATCATATGCATTGGAGTGGGTCCTGATATCCACGATGCTTCATTTGTAGTGTGTATGGTGTGTACCTCAATGTGAGGTGTGATACCTACATGTATTGTTATTGCAATATTATATCTTTACATATGCTCTTTGTTTCAGATTTCATAACTAACAGATCATATAGCTTAATTATGAAGAGAAAGGGTATGTTACCGTGTTTACCCTAGTGTGGCTAATGCCAAACGACATTGATAATTGGATGTTATTTCAAAATACAGCATTTTATTTTTAACTAGTGAAACAGAAAATGGTAACTATTTGATAAGGATAATGTTTGAGTCAGATACGACTTGATTGATAGATACTAGCCTTCACAACAACTATATCTCTCTACATACACTAACATTAGTGTTTTTAAAATTCCCGCAAGATATGCCCAGCGTATGTGGGATACTTGTACTTAATACTGTAATACTGTAAATACTAGTAAACGGGGGGAGAACGGGTCGCCCAGTCGTCTAAGACGCCGTGATTCGCTGTGCAGAGTTGCGTCCCTTGGACACGCCAGAAACCTATGATAGTGGGTTCGAATCCCGGTTCTCCCCGATTATGTTTCTAGGTTTGTCAGCACCATACCCGTGCTCGTGGGTTTCACCGAAGTGGTAAACGTCTGAGACCTGCATCACTTCGGGCTTTCTTCCCATATTAAGCTGACACGCCGTGATTTAACTGGAATACTGTTAAAAGCGGCGTTAAACTCAATTCACTCACTGTGAATAAACGCGAACAGAAACCGTTTTCATAATCATATAAGTTTTTATATTTAAAGTACGTTGTAAGATCCCAACTATATCATGAACAAGTGTTTATGAATCGCAACAAATACATAGTTAGGACGCCTTCAGATGTGACACTGAATGGTTTACATTTAACATACACCTGTCTTGACATTGCCCTATTCTCTGCCTTTCATAACTATGGTTAATTGATATTGTAATAAAATATACAGAATCAAGTAAGGCGTTCTTAATATAATATCAGTTTTACATGTACTGCCTCCCTTGTATTGAAGGCTGCAGACCAGAGGCACCTATGTTGGTGGTTGCGGTTGTAATCCTTATAACATACCTGACAACGCGGAGAAATGAAGGACGATCCATTGAAACATTTGAATATAGAGGAATGGCTCCACACAAAGTACATGTGATTCCTGGTAAGTTATGAAAAACATGATAAGATTGTACACATGTATATTTTAAAATTACATATATGGAGCCAACGTGAATAAAATAATCCAAAGTAGAATGTCTATATGCCTAGGCACATGTGTGGTAGGTGTTTCGTCGAATATCCAAAGTCGCTTACGAATTAAGGTTTTACATTTGTACCTCAGCGCTAGCTTAAGTATAATATGATCGATAAGACATTATTATTTCGATTTTGTAGGCAACAGTTGAAGAGCTTAGAGCTAAAAGGGGCCAAAATGCACTTTGGCCCTTTTTGCATATTATTGCATAAATAACATCTATGAGTTCATGTCTACCTGTAGAAAAAATATTGCATGTCACTTTGCTAGATTTTGGCCGTTTTAGCTCTCATTTCCGTGTGTGGTTGAGACTGGTTGTCTGAGAGAGATTTTCAAAGTTTGGACACCTTATAATTATGTTTCAAGTATTTCAACAAAGTGAGCATTAGTGTAAATCATTTAAAAACACTTCAATAGTATGTGTTTGTACTTTTAGTAGTAGTTTATCAAACTCACATGTTGAATCCCGTGCAAATGCCTGAGGGTAAAAAAGGGCCAAAATACAGACATTGGCCCTTTCCACTCTTACACAAATTAAAAACGTAAGTTTATTTCCTTTTTTGAATGTTTTAATGTATAGGAATTTATCGGTAAAAAAGTGTTCATTAACATGCATTATATTATATGTACATGTGTTTTTTTATCACTTTTCTCAAGACAGACTCCACATGACATTGGCCCTTATGGCTCTAAGCTCTTCAGTTGTGGAAACGTATTCTGAATCTGAAACACGTACTGACCGTGAAAAGGTTTGCTTTTATGACACCTTATAAAACCTTCATGCATAATAAGGCAGGGCTTTATATCGATATTAACACCTAAAGTGGAAATCTATCTTTGTTTCAGGTAATCGACTTAATAATAATAACCACTTCACAAAACTACTGACACTCTACCAACAGAAAATGGAAGGTATATCTGATGTTTGAAATAAGTAACTACTATGTGGAAATTACATCAGATTGAGATCTTATATTAAGTCAATGCTAATTGAGCATGCATGTCAATTATCTGTGATGATGACCAAATGTTTTAACAGAAAATGTTGTATTATTTGGCGTGGTAAATATCCGCTACACTAAATATTATTGCATGCTTACGAAGATTAAGTCACATATTATTCGATGCGTCGAAGTTTTATATTTGTATAATATTCGACATCAGAAAAAACAACATTCATGTATTCCTTTTTCTGAAGTGCTTGTGGGATTCACGAGATAACATAGATCGTCATTGCTTGCTGATTTAATGCAATGTTCATTTACAGAGGGATAAGGAGGCTCGCCGTTGATGTCTCTTGTCATGACCAAACAACGGTGTAAACACATCTACTCCAACCGCTATGGTGCTTTTGTATGGTACCATTATCAAATCTTTCCTTTACATTCACAGTTGCACAAACGAACGCCCAGGAGACTCCGATACCAAAAAGAAATATCTGTACAAACAGTTTGCCGTGGGGTAAAATCTCTTTTGTTATCATTCTAAAATGGTTTGAATATTACACTACATTCTGGTGTTAATACATTCAAGAATGATGTCCAATTGTGATGCCAAAATACATGTATATCGAATATTATAGCTAAAAAGGATAGAATTATCATTAAACCGCCCGCATGTTATCAAAAATGAGTTGGCCACTGTAATTTGATAATGCCCTCATATTGCTTGACGACGGGCCATTATCACGTCCGTTGTTAGGTGACGTCATAGGATAGATCGGTGACGTCACGTTCAATAGTGAGTTCATCTGGTTTGTTCTATGACGTTTCCATATTTGTAAAAGTGGGTCAGTGACATTTGTGTTGATTGCAGTAAATGTTTCAAACCCGAAGGTGTTGTTTCTTTTTATTTGATAACAAATTCCATCCATGTTAGCTATAATAACGGTAACGCTATTTTTCAGGGCATTATCATTTGCAGAAGCCCGAGGTCTTCCATTAACTGCCCGACGAAGGAAAAAATAGCGTTAGCCTTATAATAATAAGGATGAGTAACTGCCAGTGTTTTAAGTAATTGTCAATATTGTTACATGCTACCATTGTACGATTCAAACTATATCATAATCATGTGTTATTGAGTCCTGTGTTACCTGACACATAGTACATACTATAGTCGTGTGAATAAATCGTACGATGCCGAATGTACTCATCAAAACCTATCGAATCGATAGAAATTCTCATTATTTGAATAATTCTTATAAAACCATATCAATAATTATATTAATCATCATAATTATCATCGTCGTCATCATCGTCATTATCATCATTACCGGAGTTTGGAAGGTCCGGGGTTCCATCCCCGGCAGCGTCACTCAAATGATTATTCTTGTTGTTACCCTGCCCCGTGTAGTAGGCTCAAACGACCCCCCCCCCCCCCCCCCTAAATTTGACATAGAGTTATATGGGCCTAGGCTCAATTGACACGAGAGTCAACTGAGCCAAAGCTCAAACGACCCTAGAGTCATATGGGCCTAGGCTCACATGACTCCCCTAGCCAGGCTCAAAACCCTCCCTCTAGGCTCAGCTAACTCCCCTACTGGGCCCAAATGACCCCCCTTGTTTTGAATTTAAATGATGAAAATGCCAAGGCTCAAATGACTCCAGAGTCGTCTGACCCTGGGGAGTCATTTCAGCCTCCTACACCGGCGCTCGACATTAAGGGGCTAAAACAAGGACTGGTCGGCTCAGCGTCAGAGTGTGATGTTAAACTGCGGCATGGTACCGCAGTGGACAAGCAATATACAATCAGCAAATCCAGACTACTACAAGTATCCATACACACACACACAAGCCGCTAAATGGATGCAGTAATCGACGTTAAAAACCTTTACACCTCACTCCACCTCACCTTATCAGGGCACGGGGTAATCTGGTGGTTCAAGCGCTTGCTCATCCAACCGATGTGTTAATTCCCCCATGGGTACAGTGTGTGAAACCAGTTTGTAGTGTCACCCGCGGTGCTATTGCAGGAATATAGCTAGAAGAATGATCTTTGTTTGTTACCACTCCGACGAAAAAACAAACTTTTAAACCCGCATTATGCTTTGCAGTTCCAGGACTGTTCTCGTCACTGTTTCACAGAAATGCGGTGTTCATTCATTCACTCACTCTCACTAAACGTAACAGGTGTGTAGTTACGTCGCATCCAGCCAAAAGTTCAAAATAGAATAATCAAGAATAATCATCTTCTTCTCCTTTTCTTCTCTTTAAGATGAAGAATGTGTTGACCAGAATTGCAATCATACCGAGCCAGACAGCCTCCCAGCCAGACTTTACAGTGTCACCAACTCCATGCACACTACAGACATAGAAACATTGAACAGAATTATGCAGTTTGAAGAATTCCAATCACAACCTACAGGAAAACAGATTCTCTTTATAACGGGAGCGTCGTCCAATCACTTCCTGGAGTCACAAGCACTGCTGAAAAACTTTCATGAAACTGTCCCTCCAAACTTCAGTAGTTATTCCCTCCTTTATTATGATCTTGGACTTACAACAGATCAGCGTACACAGGTAAATCTTATATAATTTATCGTGGTATTAAGGGTGTCGTGCCGGGTGAGCGAAAATCCAATTTTCTCTAGTATCAGTAAAGCGAAAACCCAAGTTGGGGTATTTGTCCTACGAAGGCGAAAATGAGCAATTGCTATAAAAACACCGGATTACTGTAGTTTAGATTAACGCCCGTGCTGTTACAAACAGAGACTGTAAAACTATACTATACTTCAGCATCTAATAAATTACTACTGTAATTACGGTATACGTATTTCTGTGTTTTTCTTGTAAATTTGAGAGTCCCGGTATAGCAATACCCCGTGTTTACTGTAGCGTGACCACTTTTACTGTAGCTTCACGAAAGCGAAGAGATTTTAGAGTTGATTATGGCTAGGTTTCGCTCTTCCGGCCCAGAACCGCATTAAGTAAAAGGTAGATTGATACACACAATAAACTTTGCAGAAAAGCAAAAACGTTTTAATATAAACGATTTTGAATTGATTTGGCTAAGACAGACAATTGACCTTAGAATTGTTACGGGAACATTATGTAAACATTACCGCACTGGGTCAAATAATGAGTTTTGTCCACTCTACTTACACAGGTGACAAAGCATTGCAAATGTCAAGTGAGAACATTCCCACTACAAAAGTTGGAACACTGGATGAGGAATTTGAGGTGTTATATATGGAAAGCCCTTATAGTACAGGTACGGTTCACAGGTCTGCACAAATTCCGCAACCTCCCAAGTTTTGCATTGATCAGTATCACCGTTTTAGACAAATAAACATGGCAGCCTAACTGGAGATTTGAGTTGCTTCAGCGTTACGATATCACCATTACGGGGATAACGCTCAAATCAGTTTCACTATTAAACTCATTTGATCTTCATGAAAATGTCAAAAGATTAACTAGAAAACATGTTTATAAGATTACCTGTACCTTTACGTCATGGCAGTATATATTGAGCACAAGGAACGACAAGATTATTATTGATACTTTGCAGGCCAATATAAAAGCTGCTGACATCCTGGTGTGGATGGACGCCTCTGTTAGGCTGACGATGGAAGGACTTAAGGAGACACTCCAGGATGCCGAGGTTCGGGGAATTCAAATCAGGAGTGGACAAGGGCTTATGTCGCAGCATGTCGACACGCAAATGATGAACTACTTTAAAACAACAGCCTGTTTCTATTCCCCATATAAAATATTAAGTGCTGGTTTAATATTTCTCCAAAATGGACAGTTTGTAAGGGATGCGGTAATTAAACCATGGGCTGTTTGTGCTGTAAATCGTAACTGCATGTGCCCAAAGAATTCTCAAATGAACTGCAAGCGGAGTATTCGCTCGTATGGGAAGTGCCACAGATACGATCAAGCCGGGTTAAGAATGGTTCTCGTAAAATTGTTCGGTGATTATGTGGATAGTTTACGAGTTAAAAAACTATCATTTACAGTTAAGAAGGGTGACAGATTTGAATACTTTGATTATCTAGAGTCAAGGAACAAAGCACATTGAACATAATACACCTACTATTAAAACAAAATCGTGCATGAGCATTATGTGTCACATATAGTAAGGGCAGCTGATGTATTTCCTGATGTTTTCGTTTTGTTTAAAGAAATTGTTCCTCCCTTGTATTTATCATGCTTATCACGGTGTACGGTGTATTGCCAAGCAATTTGAACCTGTCTGTTACATCTTTGTAGTCAAGGTGAGGTGAATTTGGGTTTAACGTCGAGCCCAACATTTTTGGAGTTATGTGAGCTGTTTGTACTAGCCCGGACTGATGCTGATTTGTAGTGCTAGCACACTGAGATATCATGCCGCAGTTTAACATGAATACCCCACTCAGACACAGTATACTGACTCCTAGCCGACTTATGCCCCTTAATGCCTAGAGCCTAGGATTCACAAAATCAAAAGAAGGAAAGTTTAACTGATGTTTCAGGTCCAGAGACGATCTTGTATAGTTCCATCCTAGTCAAAATGCCAATTCCATTCCACTGATTTACCCACATGAACTATACAGATATAAAAGAGACCAGAGAAACAGCCTCATATATGTTTCGTATTTAGATCACTGCATAAAGATTCGGAGTGATAAAAGATTCCGCGAGCATCCGTTGCATTATTAAATACAAAGCAAACTGTGCAAGCCTATGGGACACTTTAGCCCAACTAAACACGAGTATAATATATATCTTAAAGAGACAGATACCCTCAATTAAGATTAACCCGAACTTTTGATTGTGTGCTAATTAAAACATGTCATTTTTCAATACATAATAATAATTACCTGCCAGGTAAAACTTATTTTTCGAGAACAACATTTTAGTGTCAGATACAGCTCTTGTAATGTTGATACAAACAATGCACTGAATTAGGACCCAATACAAACTGAATAACTACAGAGAGTATTAACTGTGTTTTCGATCCTGATAACAATTGACAATTCACCTTTCCAACTTCTAGCTTCTAACTTCTCACTTTCGAATTATTTTTTAGATGGAAACTAAAAAGCTCAACATCATTTCTAACTCCTCCCTTCTATACACCGTTTGGGGAAAGACGGAAAACTCGAAAAATCACAGTATTAACTATTAGTCTATATGTTATAACTCACATACACAGTATATTATTTTATGAATTCTGCAACGGATAGTGTATATGTAAATAAGTTAAAATATGTAACGAAATTCACACAGGACGAGAATAATAGACTGGGTTTCTGTCTAATACAAACGAGTAGACAAGCAGGGGCCGATTGCTCGCCGGTGCAATGGTTAGGCAATAATGACGAATTTTGAATATTAATAGAATTACTACAAAGTGAATATTATAAGCGACCTGGATCTGTTCGTCTGTTGTTCACCGCAAATATATGAAACTGTACATGATATAAGGAGTCCTATTTTGTTATCAATGCATTTTAGATGGGAATCTTTTACTAATTTCGTAAAAGGCATTAACTATTGTAGAACCCTATTTTACATTGACTAAAAGCTATTTTGTTTGACACCGCTTTTTATACTGTGAATTTCACTTCGATACATTTTTTCTTTTTCTTTGCGTATCGTAAAAGTGAATATATAAATTAAAAAGAAATACTCTGATCTGACCGTAAAGAACTACTAAGTTTAAAATTACTTGAAATTCCATGAAAGTTGCCACGATGACGTTTATAAATGACTAATGTCAACTTCTGCTAACCGCTGTCGGCTGAAATATGAACAACTGGGCTATATGTATTCCATCAATGTCATACCGCTGGCATCTTGCTGAGAACGACAAACAAACTAAAACTATATGTTTTCCATCGTACAAATACAAAATTTGACCAGTGTCTCCGGAATTAATTCCCCTATAGAATGCCTTAAACTACGAAAAAGGTTATAATACTGTGTTATTAAATACACGGATACGTGTTATCGATTATTGTATAATTATAAATGCATGCCATATAAGTATTTAATTATTTCTCTAAGACGCCGAGAAACGTTATACTTGTGTATGTTATAACCATGCTGTAACCATATACCTCATTTATATATGATTGGGTGTTGAAGTTAGAAACATTCTAACTATGATGACTTCCAAAATATTAATGTTTCAATGTTGTTCATCAGTATTCGATCATATCGCACACTCGTCGCTAACGTCTTGCTCCAATACATTGGCGACATTTTTACTTGCTAGCTCGTTGATAAGATCTATCTTGGTTAAGTGTTATAAATATCCTCACATCATTTGCATTTTTAGAGTACAGAATACACTTGCATCAACAATCACTTGAACTCCGTTGTTTTGAAAGAAAATCTAAGCAACAATCGGTACAGATTATTAACGAACCATACGGTCAATGTTTGTTTGTTTGATGTTTAACGCCGCACTCAGCAACATTTCAGCTATTTGACGGCGGTCTGTAAATAAACGAGTCTGGACCAGACAGCACAGTGATTGGCATCATGAGCATCAATCCACGCAGTTGGGATACGATGACATGCATCAACAAAGTCAGGAAGCCTGACCACCTTATCCCGTTAGTCGCCTCTTACAACAAGCATAGTCGCCTTTTATGGCAAGCAGGGTTTGATGAAGACCTATTCTACCCCGGATCTTCATAGGTCTATACCGTTAATGATACCGGCACTCCGGTACATGTCAAACTCGGACTTCTATAAAGAAAATGAAACCTTCAGGTAAGTTTTGAATTATCCTACATTAACAAACAACAACGGGTATAAACTATTAGTTTAATGCCTGAATGTTGTTATGAATATTATAAACTGTGTTGTCATCAAAGGTGAGGTGAGATGAGGTGAAATTGGTTTTAACGTCGCGTCCAAGATTTTTGCACTTATATGCATATCCGTGCATGCACGTGTGTGTGTGTGGCTGCTTGTACTAGTCCGGACTGATGCCGATTTATAGTGCTAGCTCACTGAGATACCATGCCGCAGTTGAACATGAATATCCCACTCAGACACAGTATACTGACTCCGAGACGACCAGTACTTGTTTTAGCCCCTTAATGCCGAGCGCCAGACAGGGTAACAACAAGTACCATTTTTTAACGTCTTTTGGTATGACGCGGCCGGGGATCGAACCCCGGACCTTCCGCTCTCCGGGCGCACGCTCTACCACTAGACCACGGAGGCGATCTGTCATCAAAGACAAAGATCATATGTTATCAGGTGTACTGTTTTCCGTCGAAAACCTGTATCATGTATTCTATTCTTTCACAAAATTAATCATTTTAAGCTTTCTTAGTTTTGTCGGTATTGTTGAAAATTGGTTGTTATTATCATAGCGGCATATGAGTTAGTGAGTGACAGACAGTGAGAGTGAGTGAGTGAGTGACAGACAGTGAGAGTGAGTGAGTGAGTGACAGACAGTGAGAGTGAGTGAGTGAGTGAGTGAGTGACAGACAGACAGTGAGTGAGTGAGTGAGTGACAGACAGTGAGAGAGTGAGTTGGGTTTAACGCCGCTTTTAACACTATTTTAAACGGCATATTAAAAACCGAGAATTGTGCCATTTCTACTACCACTAGCGCAATGCGGTTTATTCTGACACCACATAAACAATAGATTCCAATGTTATATTAACCCGTGAACTATTTATTGACTTTTGTTGGATTATACAATTTCATATTCATATCAAAACGTTAATATGCAAAATAGGAGCGATTACCACTAAAGCTGCAAATGGACATTGATTGACTTTCATCCGTTCAAAATAAAGTTTGAAAGTCGAATTGTCAAGCGTAACTCGACCGTTTCCTTTTTATACAGAGTTAGAATTGATTGACCGACCGATTGACTTACCGTGCAAGGTTTTACTCCACGTTAACTGGACATGTAATTCAGCCATGTCACGGCGAGTCGGCTTATTCGAAACCACGATATAAGGTTTCTGACTGGCCAATTAGCGCAACACTGCATAGCTCGGTGTCATATTATAGACGACTGTGCCAACTGACAACTTATCGATTGAGTGAGTGAGTTGGGTTTAACGCCGCTTTTAACATTATTACAGTTATATCGCGGGGTGTCAGCTTAATGTGGGAGGAAAGCCCCAAGCGATGCAGGTCTCAGACGTTTACCGCTTCGGTGAAACCCACGAGCACGGGTATGGTGCTGACAAACCTAGAAACATAATTGGGGCGAACCGGGATTCGAACCCACAATCATAGGTTTCTGGCGTGCCCAAGGGACGCAACTCTGCACACGTGAATCGCGGCGCCTTAGATGAAACATAAAGCTATATAAACTGTAATAGAACACTAATGTAATGACAACGCTCATGACGTTTTATATAATGAAATGGGAAAACAATGAGTATCATATCCATCAATTTATCAACCTGAAACCTTTCTCGACAATAACATCGTCACATGTATTCTCGGAACCCTTTATCGCACACAAACACACCAATAACTTAGGTCGACCACACGAACCACGGGGCGTGCTTCCTCGTCATGATGAAGTTGGCTGTTCCACAAGCATTTGGGAAATACTTTTGTGGTGACGTCACGTCGGGGAATTCCCCTGGCAGGAATCGCTTCTTCAAGCGATAATATCAACAACGGCATGACAAAACCGCTTGACACATTGCAGCCACATCCAAACTTATGGAAAAATTGCATGGCCTTTATTTAATTTCCCTGTACTGCTTTCAAATTATGTCAGATTGAAAAAGATAGCCGGTGAAGTATCAATAAGTCCAATTTGACGGTTTGCGTAACCATATTTCCTGAAATCGATTGGTAATGTTAATCACTATGTTAGAAATATTATTAAAATATTTAAAAAACATACGCTATGCTATATTATGCTTCATAGTATACGTAGGATTAAATGACATCAAGAATGAATCCCATGGAGGCGGGTTTCGCTATATATAGTTCGCAGAGATGTGGAATGCGGGAATGGATAAGCATGGCGCAACGTACACATTCCAATCTCCACATGGTATAGTCATACGCTTGTCGCTCCATTATAATGACACAAGACCCGACATGATTTCGCTGATCGAATGCCATCGTTGAGATGTGAGAGGATACATGTAGATTACTCGTTCCTATTTCATATAGAGTTTATGTTCTCGCTTCAATAACCTGTCAACATGAATAATTTATTCACTTGGAAAATAAACTCAACCGAAACGAAACATTCTGATAAAAGAATAGACGCTGTTGAAATTATGCTAAACAGAACTTTTCTATATTTGTAAATACATGCACGTGTTCTTGTGTTATATTGGTGTATTTTATACACACAGGGCTACGACATGATACGGTATACGATTGACCGTTTCACTGTTAACAAGTTTTCGGCTATTTTGTCTGGCATCTATATATCAGCGCAGTGTTTTCAAGGTGCTAATATTCAGATTAGCTATCACATCAATTGTTTAGATATCATAACCTAAATATTCTAGAAAAAATGTATCCATAATTATTTCTAGAAACAATGATAGACAAAATACACCTTTTTGAGGGACGACTAGACTAACATCTAGTCTCTGAAATGAACATATCTTACAGAAAAAAAGTTGTTAAATAATAGCTTTAAAATATAATAAAAAGGAGCCCAGAGACTTTCTTCCTGATACTCCAGTAATCTAGACTTGCCAAACATTATAGACTTGCATGGGCTGTATTGGATATATTTGTTTCAGGGTCCATATGACAGACTAAGGGACGACATAACAACTCCAGAAACTTAAGACAGAGTGTATGTGGGGATTACTTATTCTCTGAGTGTGTGGAGGCTGGTTACATTCGCTCTGTTAGGATGCTGAGCCGATGCGAACAGTGACCTACTTATACGGGATATATGGTTAATAGAGACAGGCAAACTGGTTCTCCCGTTACACACACAATTAGGGACGAACAGCACGTCGTCGCAATAGCACGGCCGTGATGCATTAACGACGAGGAACGTATTAAGTCACATCACTGCTTTCTCCGCCTGGAAGCGTTGCTGTTATTTATCTCCTCAATTTGAATATTACCCTGTTTACCCATCCATGCATCCATCCATCCATCAATCAATCAATGCACACACAGACCAAGATATTCAACCAAATATTCCTTTGTATTATTCTACAACAGCTAAATGCACACGAAATGAAATATAATCTTCTTTTGAAGGTCATAGGAATATAAGATATTTTTTTTCGACATACGCTCTTATGAAACCCTGTGGTATTATCATTGTACGTGTAAGTATGTGTTTCTGTGTCATGGACTGAGAGGGGACCAACACCGCCAGAAAACAGTATAAAGCGTAACTTTCATCCCTCGCATCTCTTGTTACGCCAGATCATAATGCACCGACCGACTCCCCAAACGCCCCCTCTCCAGCCTCCTGTTCATAGGTATTTGCACTACTCTCGACTTTCCATGTCTATTGCCATTCTCTAGTACAGGCTGCGACTATCACGGGATTTGTTACAGAGTGGATTATCTGGTAGGTGTATATTGCCTATGTACTCTGGAATTAAGTTTATAACTTATGTTTAAGACAGTGGTAAGGTTGCAATATTCGACGTATGTATTCCGCGAGGAGAGTGAGGCATTTGCACATGTAAGCATTCAGCCCAAAATGGCTGACATGAGAAGAGATTCTCGTTTGGATATAGTTCAAGAGTTGTGTCAGAATCGTCGAAGAAGAGAAAAAGTAATATTTCTCACGTTGATCAATGTAGGTTGAATTTGACAACATTCTGCATCGCGTTATAGATGCATAATAACATATTAATACCGGCATGCATCCCCCCATCGCTTGCAGTACACATGCGGGAAGATGTAGCGCCTATGCTGGCCACCATGTATGCATAATTGACATGGCATTTGCAGACATGTGCATCTAGACAACAAATAAAAAGTTGTCGGTGACGACACAGTACAGCAAAAATACTTTCTTTGCAAAATAATTATGTTCATAACTGCATATACCTCTGGGCGTATTTATCCCAGTGAAATCTCTGGCAATACCAACAAGAAAAGAAAAAGGGATATTTGTTGCGAGTGTCGACCTTCCAAGGTCCAAGGTAATGTCAAACTCCCGAAATTGCAATAGAAAAGATGTCGTTATTGATGTTTCAGAAGAAAGATGCTTTGAGGAGATTAGACCGAAAAAGTATTTTAATTATAATTAATAAGCACTACATAGACGGATGTACGCTGACACAGCCAAATCTACACTGATACAGACACACGCGTACACTGATACAGATACACGTGTACACTGATACAGACACACGTGTACACTGATACAGACACACGTGTACACTGATACAGACACACGTGTACACTGATACAGACACACGTGTACACTGATACAGACACACGTGTACACTGATACAGACACACGTGTACACTGATACAGACACACGTGTACACTGATACAGACACACGTGTACACTGATACAGACACACGTGTACACTGATACAGACACACGTGTACACTGATACATACACACGCGTACACTGATACAGACACACGCGTACACTGATACAGACACACGTGTACACTGATACAGACACACGTGTACACTGATACAGACACACGTGTACACTGATACAGACACACGTGTACACTGATACAGACACACGTGTACACTGATACAGACACACGTGTTTACTGTTACAGACACACGTGTACACTGATACAGACACACGTGTACACTGATACAGACACACGTGTACACTGATACAGACACACGTGTACACTGATACAGACACACGTGTACACTGATACAGACACACGTGTTTACTGTTACAGACACACGTGTACACTGATACAGACACACGTGTACACTGATACAGACACACGTGTACACTGATACAGACACACGTGTACACTGATACAGACACACGTGTACACTGATACAGACACACGTGTACACTGATACAGACACACGTGTACACTGATACAGACACACGTGTACACTGATACAGACACACGTGTTTACTGTTACAGACACACGTGTACACTGATACAGACACACGTGTACACTGATACAGACACACGTGTACACTGATACAGACACACGTGTACACTTATACAGATACACGTGTACACTGATACAGATACACGTGTACCCTAAAACAGATACACGCGTACACTGATATATACACACCAGTACACTGATACAGACTCACGTGTACACTGATACATGCACATATAGGTACACTAAAGCATATTTATATGTACACTGATGTAGATATATATGTTCACTGATGCAGATAGATATGCTCACTGATGCAGATAGATATGTACACTGATACAGACACTTATATCTACACTGATGCAGATATATATGAATGAATGAATGAATGAATGAATAATCTTTATTTCCTCCATTAGTATCGGAGAGTAGAAACAAGAAAATTAATTAATCAGTATGTACATGCATACCGATATATATGTTTACTGATATAGATATATATGTACACTGATACAGGCATATGTGTACACTGACACAGACACTTATGTGGACACAGATGTAGATATATATGAACATTGATGCAGAAATATAAGTTCAGTGATACACACATATATGTACAATGAAACAGACACCTTTGTGTACACTGATGTAGATATATATGTACACTGATGTAGATATATATGTACACTGCTACAGACACTAATGTGTACACTGATGTAGATATATATGTACACTGATGCAGACACTAATGTGTACACTGATGTAGATATATATGTACACTGATACAGACACCTATGTGTACACTGATGTAGATATATATGTACACTGATACAGACACTAATGTGTACACTGATGTAGATATATATGTACACTGATACAGACACTAATGTGTACACTGATGTAGATATATATGTACACTGATACAGACATATATGAGGACACTGATGTAGATATATATGTACACTGATACAGACACTAATGTGTACACTGATGTAGATATATATGTACACTGATACAGACATATATGTACACTGATGTAGATATATATGTATACTGATACAGACATATATGTACACTGAAGTAGATATATATGTACACTGATGTAGATATATATGTACACTGATGTAGATATATATGTATACTGATATAGACATATATGTACACTGATGTAGATATATATGTACACTGATGTAGATATATATGTACACTGATACAGACACTAATGTGTACACTGATGTAGATATATATGTACACTGATGTAGATATATATGTACACTGATACAGACACTAATGTGTACACTGATGTAGATATATATGTACACTGATACAGACATATATGTACACTGATGTAGATATATATGTACACTGATACAGACATATATGTACACTGAAGTAGATATATATGTACACTGATGTAGATATATATGTACACTGATGTAGATATATATGTATACTGATATAGACATATATGTACACTGATGTAGATATATATGTACACTGATGTAGATATATATGTACACTGATACAGACATATATGTACACTGATGTAGATATATATGTACACTGATACAGACATATATGTACACTGAAGTAGATATATATGTACACTGATATAGACATATATGTACACTGATGTAGATATATATGTACACCGATGTAGATACTTATATGTACACTGATGCAGACATATATGTACACTAATGTAGATATATATGTACACTGATACAGACATATATGTACACTGATACAGATATATATGTACACCGATGTAGATACTTATATGTACACTGATGTAGATATATATGTACACTGATACAGACATATATGTACACCGATGTAGATATATATGTACACTGATACAGACATATATGTACACTGATGTAGATATATATGTACACTGATACAGACATATATGTACACTGATGTAGATATATATGTACACTGATGCAGACATATATGTACACCGATGTAGATATATATGTACACCGATACAGACATATATGTACACTGATGTAGATATATATGTACACTGATACAGACATATATGTACACTGATGTAGATATATATGTACACTGATACAGACATATATGTACACTGATGTAGATATATATGTACACTGATACAGACATATATGTACACCGATGTAGATATATATGTACACTGATACAGACATATATGTACACCGATGTAGATATATATGTACACCGATGTAGATATATATGTACACTGATACAGATATATATGTACACCGATGTAGATACTTATATGTACACTGATGTAGATATATATGTACACTGATACAGACATATATGTACACTGAAGTAGATATATATGTACACTGATACAGACATATATGTACACTGATGTAGATATATATGTACACTGATACAGACATATATGTACACTGAAGTAGATATATATGTACACTGATACAGACATATATGTACACCGATGTAGATATATATGTACACTGATACAGACATATATGTACACTGAAGTAGATATATATGTACACTGATACAGACATATATGTACACTGATGTAGATATATATGTACCCTGATACAGACATATATGTACACTGATGTAGATATATATGTACACTGATACAGACATATATGTACACTGATGTAGATATATATGTACCCTGATACAGACATATATGTACACTGATGTAGATATATATGTACACTGATACAGACATATATGTACACTGATATAGACATATATGTACACTGATACAGACATATATGTACACTGATATAGACATATATGTACACTGATATAGACATATATGTACACTGATATAGATATATATGTACACTGATACAGACATATATGTACACTGATATAGACATATATGTACACTGATATAGACATATATGTACACTGATATAGACATATATGTACACTGATACAGACATATATGTACACTGATGTAGATATATATGTACTGTGATACATACATATATGTACACTGAAGTAGATATATATGTACACTGATACAGACATATATGTACACTGATGTAGATATATATGTACACTGATACAGACATATATGTACACTGATGTAGATATATATGTACACTGATACAGACATATATGTACACTGATGTAGATATATATGTACTGTGATACATACATATATGTACACTGAAGTAGATATATATGTACCCTGATACAGACATATATGTACACTGATACAGACATATATGTACACTGATACAGATATATATGTACACCGATGTAGATACTTATATGTACACTGAAGTAGATATATATGTACACTGATACAGACATATATGTACACTGATATAGATATATATGTACACTGATACAGACATATATGTACACCGATGTAGATACTTATATGTACACTGAAGTAGATATATATGTACACTGATACAGACATATATGTACACTGATGTAGATATATATGTACACTGATACAGACATATATGTACACTGATATAGATATATATGTACACTGATACAGACATATATGTACACTGAAGTAGATATATATGTATACTGATACAGACATATATGTACACCGATGTAGATATATATGTACACTGATACAGACATATATGTACACCGATGTAGATACATATGTACACTGATACAGACATATATGTACACCGATGTAGATATATATGTACACTGATACAGACATATATGTACACTGATGTAGATATATATGTACCCTGATACAGACATATATGTACACTGATGTAGATATATATGTACACTGATACAGACATATATGTACACTCATACAAACACCAACGTTAACTGATACAGACACATACGTACACTCATACAAACACCAACGTTAACTGATACAGACACATACGTACACTCATACAAACACCAACGTTAACTGATACAGACACATACGTACACTCATACAAACACCAACGTTAACTGATACAGACACATACGTACACTCATACAAACACCAACGTTAACTGATACAGACACATACGTACACTCATAGAAACACCAACGTTAACTGATACAGACACATACGTACACTCATACAAACACCAACGTTAACTGATACAGACACATATGTACACTCATACAAACACCAACGTTAACTGATACAGACACATACGTACACTCATACAAACACCAACGTTAACTGATACAGACACATACGTACACTCATACAAACACCAACGTTAACTGATACAGACACATACGTACACTCATACAAACACCAACGTTAACTGATACAGACACATACGTACACTCATACAAACACCAACGTTAACTGATACAGACACATACGTACACTCATACAAACACCAACGTTAACTGATACAGACACATACGTACACTCATACAAACACCAACGTTAACTGATACAGACACATACGTACACTCATACAAACACCAACGTTAACTGATACAGACACATATGTTCACTGACACAATATTAGATATCAACCGATCGCGAGGGGTACATGGTGTGATGTGCCCTGTGCGTGGGCCCATGTACCCTGAGCCGCCAGCCTCACACATAGGGTACACATAGGCATCATATCTCCCGAGGGATCGGATGATCCCGAATTTAACTGACCGAAATTCCTTCAAGCAGGTTCAGAACAATTTCACTGAGTCAGCAAAACTCGTAGCAGACGACGCAAACGAACCGAGTTACTTCCCTTCACATAATGCATTCGGATAAACTTGACTTCATTTCAGAAACTCAACGATACTTTTGCGAGATAGCGAAGTTACCTATGATACGTTCCGATTGATTCCTAAGTGGGATACATTAAGTTTATTCCTCACCTGTGATGGCGATAAATGGAAAAGTAATTGCCCGCTCCTTATCAGTACCTAGTATTTTAATGCGAGGTAAGATAAAGGCATTTGTCATACCATCATGTCAGAATGATGAGATCTGATTGGATCATATGATCTTGATAAAGTACTATGTATCCCACCTGGCAGGGAAATACATTTCTGAGAGGGAAAATAAATCGCTTATACCTGTCGCGGGTCCTTGCCAACGATGAAAATGAGTGGACTAAGGCGGTGAAGATGGTTTAAAACAATTTAGTATATGTAAAAGATATAAATGGCATCAATATCAATTGATGTTCAGTCGAGGGAACAAGAAGTTTTCCCTCAGTGACCAAATGTCAAAGAAAATACAAGTATTTAGCATAAAACAATATTATCCATTGCTTCAAATGCACGTGTAACTGCAACGTCTTGAGTGTTCCAATGCATCTATTTTTGGTTCTTAGATACCTTTACGCAAGGTGTGAATCAGCATATGCCTTGTTACTATCGAGATAGTACTCTGAGACACAATAGTAGGAGTGCAATTCATTATGCATGTTCCTTCTGTATGCAGCATGCCTCACAAAAGGGTAAGATCATTGAATCAGAATAATTCGTCATTACTTATACAATAGGACCACCTCCGTGGTCTAGTGGATAGAGCGGAAAGAAATACAAGTATTTAGCATAAAACAACATTATCCATTGCTTCAAATGCACGTGCAACTGCAACGTCTTGAGTGTTCCAATGCATCTATATTTTGTTCCTAGATACCTTTACTCAAGGTGTGGATCAGCATATGCCTTGTTACTATCGAGATAGTACTCTGAGACACAATAGTAGGAGTGCAAGTCATTATGCATGTTCCCTCTGTATGCAGCATGCCTCACAAATGGGTAAGATGAATCAGAATAATTCGTCATTACTTATACAATAGGACCACCTCCGTGGTCTAGTGGATAGAGCGGAAGGTCGGTGCTCTATCACCTGCCGCCTCATACCAAACGACGTCAAAGGATGGTGCTTGTTGTTACCCTGTCTAGCGCTAAAGGACTGGTCGGCTCGGGGTCAGTATACTGTGTCTGAGTGGGTTTTTTATGTGAAACTGAGGCATGATATCTCAGAGGGCCAGTATTATAAAACCGGCATAAGTCCGGACTAGAACTAACAGCCAACACATGCACGTACACATACGCACACACACACACACACACACACACACACACACACACACACACACACACACACACACACACACACACACACACACACACACACACACACACACACACACACACACACACAACACACGCACGCACGCACGCACGCACGCACGCACACACACACATGTGCATGCACGTCGCTATATAAGTGCAATTATCTGGAACGCAAGATACAAAAACCATTTCACCTCACTTCATGAGTCGTACTTGCAAGCTGTCCATTGTCGCTGTTACAATGCATGATACAGTTCTTCACTATTTCGTAGGATCCTAAAGGAGATTTCTATCAAAATACTGTACACTAATACAGACACATATGTTTGCTGATACAAATGCATGTGTACGCTAATGCAGACACTTAAGCACATTCAAGACGTTGCAATGTTTTGCTGTGAGTGAATGCATGTTCTGTTTTTTTGTTCACAGATGCATGTGTTTATTCCAAGACCGATCAGCACGCGCATTGTTACTTTTTGTCAGTATGTAACATGCCTTACCACTGGCAGAAAATAGGTAGATCAAATTCATGTTTGTTTTCATGTAATAAGAAGAGGAGACTGTTCGAGTAACTCTCCTTTCCTTAAAAATGATAAAGCCAAAAATCAATTATTTAAAAAAAATTGAGAGTTATCAGGGTATACCCACAACACTTCCCTACTTTTACGCTTTGACAAAACACCATCTTGTGGAAATTATTTGTAAAATTAACCAGAACTCTTTGTAGGCTGTATTTATTCAGTGGGGGTCGCCCTAGTGTGATGCACGTGGACTGTGAAATCCTCAGGGAGTCTGACGAGGAGTGTAGGAAATACATTGAGCCCTGAACAAGAATAAACATGTGTTCATTTCTCTGATGTCTAAGTTTTTCTCGCCGAAGGTTTGCCTAATTGATTTAACATGAACATCGTCACAGCCAACAGGGTGTAGCACAATGTTGTACATATTGTCTTCTGTACTTTATACGATATTATACGAATATGTGAGCCCATGTTTTCCGAAACAATTCGAATAATTCACTTCGGTGTCAAAATACAAAATAGTCCTGTCATTTAGAGTGAATGAGTATAGTTTAATGCCGCATGTAGCATTATTCCAGCCGTCACACCTCCCATCTCACTCCTACCCCTTGTATATTGGAATTGTAAATTATTGAAGTAATTGTCTTCAAGATAATGAATAATTTCCATTTCTGAAACAATAATGAAGCATGCAAACGTCAAAGATACGTTTTAATCAAATATATCAAATATCCAGTGATATTATTTCAGGGTAAACCAGAATGATGGAAAACAATACTGACTGTTTATTTCCTTCCTGTTGCAGGTTACGATGCTGTTACCGGTCACCGAGCCAGGGCACGGTTGACATGTGAAGAAAACACAATTATACTTGTCCACCAAATTACACATCACGTGTGATCCGCATCAAAGGTATTTCACCTTTTAAAAATTGATTTATGATAACGTCACCACTAAATCTGGACTTTATCATCTTTCAAATATCATAATTGATCTCAGTACAAATGGCAAGTTCAGCACGTCACTGAATACTAGTATTTATGACATGGAAGGCATTTCGGAATAGACACAATGTTTTTTTTATTTTTTCTGAAGTTGTGGTGAACATAGTTTGGTTCATAACAAATATCAGCTACTCTACTACACAGTGCAAACAAAATTTGAATTAGTGATTAAATCCCCAGTTTCCACATAATAAAAACGTCCTGGTCCCATGGTATGGTCGTGATGTTATGTGTTTCACAAGAGGGTCAGAGGATGTCCGGTTCATCTCGTGATAGTCTAATTGTGTCACTTCCTCAACTGAATCATTTTAAAATGTACATATAACATTCAAACTAATTGTCATCTAGCGCATATTCCACTGTTCGCCTGGAGGCGAATTTTCATCGGATTACTTACTGTACGTAAGCAATGTTTATAGCAATTCAATTTCAGTTAATTGTCATATTTCAATAACGAATGTGTTGTATCAAATACTTAAGACTATACAACTATTGAAATAATTTTATCACAGGAGATATGCTTGGGTGAGATCAAGTATCTACATTGTAGATATCACTGCGATGAAGTTGCATCACAATGCTTTGCTGACCATTGGGATGTCATTGGTTACCATGACGTCACAATCAAATGACATCACTAATGGCTCTGCTACTGAAGCTGTTAGCAGTACTTTTTACACTTAAGACACCGCTTATTACTGTCTACAAACTGAAAAAGTTGGAAGAATGATGTTGGATGATAAATAAAATCAAATATATCAACACAAGTTGATAAAAGTGGCAAAACTCCGAGGCTTGACATCAAATTAAAAGACACTCGGGTGAGATTCTCTATATCACGAACAATATTATAAAAAAATGGCTTTCATGTGACAATTCTAGCCACATTTTCTCTCATAATGTAATACTATTTCAACTATGCTAGTTAGCTCTGCAGCTCGAATAATTTGAATGACAGTCACTCATTAGGTACGAAATTATTCATTATTCGCTGTGTGTTTATCTGGAAGGAATTAGGATAAATAATGGCAAAGTGAATGTATTGAGATGTTACGTGCACCCTCACTCTCATAAATGAGTTGTTCCATAAAGTTCCGGGTCAGAATTGGTCTTCAGCCACCCATTCTTGTCGTATGAGACCACTAAAGGGTTCGGGTTGCCGGGCTCGCTGACTTAGTTGATGCATGTCATTGTATCACAACTGAGTAGATCGATGCTCATGATATTAATCACTGGATTGTCTGGTTGAGACTCGATTATTTACAGACTGCCGTCACATAGCTGGAATATTGCTGAGTGAGGTGTTACAACAACCCCCCCCCCCCCCCCCCCACACACACACACACACAAACAAACAAACAAACAAACAAACATTAATGAGTGGGCAACGAATGAATAATTCTCGACTTCAGACAATAAAAAAACAATATTTACAAAAATTATTAAAATAACCGTTTAAAATGTTTCAGCTGTAACTATCTATTTCTATAGATCTGTTCTTTGATATCAACAGATGCCGCTTTCTGGAGGCAAGGCGCTCACGGTACTGCGAGGACTTCTCCAGATCTACGTGTTAGCTCACCTGAATCAGTTGTCAGTCGTCTGTAAGTAATCAACTTTTACACGTGTGACATCTTCATAAAACACACCATGTAAGACCATGCTCTTTGCAAGGATGATCTCAGTAAGTTGTTGTGCAAATTCTGAACCTCAAACTAGAGAGACTATATATAGACTTCCTGCTCAAACAAACGCAAAATGAATTATGGCCATATTGAATATACCAAACACATCTGCCTATATAGCAGTCTGTTCACGATTGTGTATTCATTTTAACTGCCTCTATACACAAATATACACAAACACCCAGTTCATCTACAGAGTCGTAGTTTATTTCCAAATCACCCTTTCCTTGTTTGTCGATTCAAAGGTCGCAAATTGAGCAGGCAGAATATTAGTGATGTGATTACAATGAACAAACAGACGAAGCTCAATAAGTGAGTGAGTGAGTGAGGTTTACGCCGCTCTTAGCAATATTCCAGCAATATCACGGTGGGGGACACCAGAATGGGCTTCACACATTGTACCCATGTCGGGAATCGAACCTTGGCCTTCAGCGTGACAACCGAACGCTTTAACCACTGGGCTACCCCACAGTCCTCAATTAAGAAGGAAGTATTAAATACACTTATCGCTAGAATTGCTCATATGTTATAAACTCCCCTGTAATTGTATATTAAGGAAAAGTTGTTATTCATAAATTGTACCTACTGAGTGGAAGTCTGAATGCAAAGGTTCATGTTATTACAGCCTGCCTAACCCTGGAAACACATGGGTAAGTTCAATTTCACATTTGTTTCCATGTATTATGTTTATGGGCTCATTACATTTTAATAATGTAGAAATACGTGCACATTCCCTGTTTCAAACTTATCCCTAACGCTTTGACAATTTATACAATGTCAGTCGCTCTTGCGTGATGTGCGTGGAATGCACATGTTGCACGTACATCAGCTCCGCCGTGTGCTGAGTTTACAATTTCGTGGTTTCCTTAACGAGTGTTTTTTCAATCTCTTGCAAGTTTGAAACGCACGCTGATGGGTATTACAGGAAATATAGAGCCCTGAAAAGGAATATACAATGTACATGTATGCGTGTATCTGATGTTTAAGCTTTGCTCGTTAAAGGTTTATCTAATTGCAAAAAAACAGGATTATACAAATCTTCGTCTGAACTTTTAAGGATTATACGAATAATTGAGCCCCGCTGGCGACTCATTTTTACGACAAAGTTTGAAATCATTCACTTCAGTGTCAAAGAAAAAATATGTGCCGTCTATTCGAAATGTAAATGTATTGAACCGCAGGGTAAAGACAGTGAATAATTGACAACCAATTATTCATCCTTGCAAAGTAATTGAGGCTGCAAGGATTGGATGTAATGTAACGCCTGCAATGTCATATTTATACTAAGACCGTATAACCGTACATTTGCCGATTGCATATTGCTATTTTCATTCAATAGATTGCAATTTGGAGTGAAAGTTTGAGAGATAACGTGACGGTTCCGTGTAAGGACCATACGACTAAAGCGTGTGTCATACTGAAAATTTGGCTGTGTCTGGAGTATTTGTGTTCAGGTTTTGTCTGGATTTTGAAAGTTTCTTGGCAAGGGAGAATACTCTGATTTGCTAACACAGATACGCCTTGTGACCGGAAAATAAAAACTAACGATCGCTCCTCATTTGGAACTGGGTTTATTTGTATGTGAATATATTTTGGTTGGTTGGTTGGTTTGTTGTTTAACGCCGCACTCAGCAATATTCCAGCTATATGACGGCGGTCTGTAAATAATCGAGTCTGGACCAGACAATATAGTGATTGATATCATGAGCATCGATCCACGCAATTGGGATTGATGACATGTATCAACCAAGTCAGGGAGCCTGACCACCCGATCCCGTTAGTCGCCTTTTACGACAAGCATAGTCGCCTTTTATGGCAAGAATGGGTTGCTGAAGACCTATTCTACCCCGGAATCTTCACGGGTCGTATGTGAATAAATAAAAGCGACAAAAACCTTAAGTTTCGATATTCTAATATTTTTTCTGCCAGAAACGGTCGATTGTACGATTCCGACTATATCATTAACATGTGTTTAGGAATCACTATCAAATAGTTATGCTACCAGGTGTTTGCGAAAAGGCGTATCCTGCCTTATTGGTGGCACCCGTCACAAACACATGCAAAGGCAAGTCAATTGTTCACCTGAAAAAAACACGGGAACATAGAGGGCAAGTCAAAAATAGGGTATTGCATCGGACATGATTTTTGTCACTGATACGTCAAATTTGAAAATGTCCCCCACATGTCCACTTTTTAAAGCTTCACTGTAGCCTTGAACGTCATAATCTTGATCAAACAACTTCAGAGCAAGACCTTCGACAATCCTTTGCGACCAACTTCGACTTCACATTCCTGAAATAATCTGTATGAAAAAGCGTTCCATTTAAACCTTTGAATCAAGCTGAAAAAAGGCTTGAAATGAAAGCTGCAAGCCTTCTTACATGTGAACTAATCGACAAACAAAATGTATGTAGAAGCAATAACACTTGACATACTTATTCCAAAATCAGCAGAACACATGCAGCTTCCTGGTACATCCAAATGCAGGGCGCCAATTCCACGTCCTATCCCGACCGGGATCAATGTGCCGGGAATAAAGCACCAAATTTTGTGATATTCCCGTTTTACACTGAGAAAGATAAAAGAAATGTTTTTTATTAATACTTTCACAAACACAACTTAAATGGCCCCAAGTAATTGAATTATTTATACAATTATTGTACATTTTACTGCCACTACAATACTTTATCTGTATAAGTCGTACACCTGTCCCACACAATGTTATGCATCTTCTTGTGACGTCACAATGTTAGATTGCACTATGACTTCATACCATGTTAGACTGCGCTGTGACGTCAAAACAGCATAACGGTACTCATCTTTGGACTTTTGTATTTCTCTCTCTCTCTCTCTCTCTCTCTCTCTCTCTCTCTCTCTCTCTCCCTCTCACTAAAAACAAAATGGAATCAAACATGAATATCGCAGGCAACATTGATGTTTTTATGTGTAAATAATAACTTTAATTAATTACAAGCAATAGAATACCTGAGATGACATGCCCGGCCTTACATTGCGTGGATATAAATGAAATACATTTATCACACATTCAGCATGTGGTCAACGAATGACGTCGCGCTTCTCATATCCGATTAGCAAATACAATGTAACTATTGCATTGAGCTGTAACCATTGAATACAACTTTAAATAAATAATATACATTATATAATGTACCGTTAGGACATTTTCGGGAAAGGAAAGAGACTACGCTTCAGTTGCAAACCTTTGCACTCAGAAAGTGAAACAAATTAGTTTAAAATTAGTTTAAATCAACACTGAGGTTTATGAAACTGTTACATTGTATGAAACGGAAGTAATTCGTATTTTTCAGTATTCCAAATTCAAACTGTATACCAAATGGTCCCACTTCTATAGTATCTATAAAAGACTTTTCTCGAAATCCCCTTGTAAACGTTGTCAGTGATATTGCTATTCTCATCATTAGGTATTTGCAGTTCGTACTCATGAGAAAGTAATCCACAATGCAGTCAAACACGCCTGTGTCGAAGTAGAAGGGTTATACGTAAATAATTCTAGTTTGACATATCATCGGATATGCCTTCCAAAACAAACACATTGTATTCTCACACGTAGTTGTCATAGAAGATGACAAATACAATACTGAGAACTGAATTGGCAATGGAACGTTTTAAAAGTGAAGTATGTAAATGGTTTGACAAAAGATGGGGAAATGAAGAATGTTTGATGAAAGATGAATATAAAATGTACTTCCCATTGCATTACAAGCAGACGGTTATGGCAAAAGAAAGAAAAAAAGCAATGACGGTTATATAGTATTCGGCTATGTTTAGGAACTGTATGCTCTATGAAAAAAGCAGCCACTAGCACGATAGTCCGGGATATTACCAGTGGTGTCTACCCCTGAACAGTATGTGATGACACTGTAGGAAGTCTAAAGCCTTTGTGAGGAGACTTTTAGAAGTTGGGAGAACATGAATTCATGATGTATGTATGTATATATGTATGTATGTATGTATGTATGTATGTATGTATGTATGTATGTATGTAGGTAGGTAGGTAGGTAGGTAGGTAGGTAGGTAGGTAGGTAGGTTTAAGAACTGACTCCCACTTTGTGTGAGTTCATTGGAGTATGAAGGTTCATACTCCAATGAACTCACACAAAGTGGAAGTCAGTTCTTATAATTATTTTATCACAATTTCTTACCTCAATGGGTGTAGGCCAAGATCTAAAGACAATTTTATTAAGTACGTGTGACTTCATGTTTACACTGACAGCCATACAACAACCAGCTATATCGCTGAGTAAGATAGTTCCTCAAAAAGGAGGCGACATGAGCGTATGGACGCACAACTTGCTCTTCAGAAACATTTTACGCAGCACATATGTTGAAATCATATCCTCATCAGATGAGAAAGTTCTGTAAAGAACTACCTCAGTAAGTCAGTCACAATGACAGCGCGTCGAAATACATTTACATCAAGTACAAGACGTCAAAATAGCCGACACGATAAACGTGACGGGAGAGATTTCCGAAGTTGTTAAGGAACCTGTGACGGTTAAATGTGTTAGTCATCATTGATCAACTGGCCGATCATTGAAAGGTGAATAAAGATGCGTCAAACAGCCACAAAGGTAAATTCATAGATCGCTGGAGACGGTCAGTGTCAGCCAAGACACGCATCGAGTCGATACTACGATAGTTTAGACGTGCATTTCTTCGTTTGCTCATTAGGATAGGCTGTAGCGAGGATATTCGTGAACAAAACGTACGAACGTCAAATTGTGTCGTTCATACACTTATGAACGTCAATTTCGCGGTCATTTGACCGGCTCTGGTCCAATGGAAAAGCCTTATATCATATCGTGTAAACTTTAAATTAAAAAATTATATATATATATAGTACTCTGTGTTCTTACGAGCATTCACCTGATGTTGGAGCCAGAAGTAGCTCTAGAAACGTCGTACAAAGAATAACAGTTGCTCTCCATAAAACGAATTATGTATTTAGGGACTCGGTTGATTACAAATCAAATAGTATATACTGTGTATATGTTTTGAATATGAATGTTATAAATAATGACATGTATGCATAAATGTGCAACCGACGGTGACATTGACGTCATGTTGAATGAGACATTTCCTCACTGACATCTGTGGTAACAAAACTCAACTGTGATGTACACCCAGACATCATTCTATGAAACTAAATAGTGTTTTTAAATACTTACACAATTGTTTAGCAGATATGTAGTTCACTGTATTTTGCTTACTAGACGATTATCAATATGTAACTCAAGTTATCATGGTAATACAAAAACGTTTCAGTGGAAGGATAAGGGGAAACAGGCAAATGAACCACTGGATGAAGGATACAACCCCTTTATACTGATTGCAATTTTATTCAAATATTATGCCAATAATTACACACAACAAATACATGATATAAAGGCATAATGTACGCAACAACGGTTAATGCTGTTAATGGTCACACGTTCCTCTATAATCTACCTTTTGTTCCAAACAATAAATTCTTTTTTCATTCATTTGAAGTGCACATGTAAATACCTGCTTAAAATGAGATGACAAAAAGTAAGAGGGTAAACTTTAAATAGTATTCTTCTGAAGTTACTAAAGAACAAGTAATTCATTAGTAGTAACATCATATGTCCGATTAGCAGACGATGGGCGTGTGTTTTGTGTTTTTGATACTCTTAAACAATACTTTATCAGTATTTAAAACAATTCCTATTTTATTTAGAGGTGAGAAAATGTGCGAATATAACTTGAATTTTTTCTGTACATAAATCCGTGAACTTGTTATCTATTTTATCAGGTATGTGACTGCGCCCAATATAACATACATATGTAAGAGTTTCCCGCCCCCAGTTCATTCAGTTTAGCAGTTACTTCTCAACACGACATCCATATTTTCCCGTAATAGGTGTATATTTGGATATTTTTGCAATGACATAACTACCAGTGGTTCTGTTATTATTCATTAGCAGGAATCGCCTACGATCCATATAAAACTTACAGGTTCAGATTCTTGTACACAAAGCCATACCAAGAGATCTGTTTCAGGTCAACCTGAGTTCCGATGCCCTGAGTTGTCTGACCTTGGATCCTCTGCCCGACTGTACTGCTCTGCCTCAGACACTGACACCGTCATCATGTACTCTGGCCCAGGGGGTCTCCACGCCCCGCACTGTGACATGAAACGGGGGCTGTGTACAGGCATTGTGGGGTACACAGGGACGGTAGTTAACACCACCGGCACTGAACTGGTCATACACGATGTACAGCCACGTAGGACAGGTACATGGCGGTGTGAGGATGACGCCCAGGGAGGGTCTTCATACTGCACTGTGAATGCAATTAGTAAGTTTGTTTATAGAACAACTTCTGTCACCCTCTTGTATTTGATTTCATATCTGATTCTGCGACCTGTGACAAGCATAGTCCAGGGACGGTCTTCATACTGCACCGTGAATGCAATTAGTAAGTTTGTTTATAGAACAACTTCTGTCACCCTCTTGTATTTGATTTCATATCTGATTCTGCGACCTTGAGGAGGCAGTGCACTATTTTAGAAGTTACTAAATTGCACGACGTTTAGTATATACAATTCCTTAGTTTGTTTGTTTCTGTGTTGTTTTACGCCGCACTCAGCATTATTCCAGCTGTATGACGGCGGTCTGTAAGTAATCGAGTCTGGACCAGACAATCCACAACAAGAGCATCGACCCACGCAACTGAGGTCGATGACATGCATCAACCAAGACGCCTCTCGCGACAAGCATAGTCGCCTTTTACGGCAAGCATGGGTTCCTGAAGACCTATTCCCCGGATCTTCACGGGCCCAATTCCTTAGAAGTAAAATTACAAATGCAAAAGACTTTCCTCGCCAACGTGCATTTGACTGTCAATCCCTTTGTTGATTTACCCTGCTTAACCTGTTGAATGAAGTTAGATTCAACAATATACATATATGTGAACAGCCATGAGATACGGGACTGTATGGGTGAGAAATCATATTTTGACTTTTCATTATATTTTATAACCACCTTAGCTTCGGAAGACAAAAATACGATTCACAAGCTCCAATTCATATTCATTAAATAGATACATAGCATCAAACATTTGCACTGGTTTTCCGACTTATAACTGTTAAAATTATAACTGCAGTCTTAGCCAATCTGTGTGATGACATGTGTGCTGAAAGGTTTGGAAATAATGAGAGAAAAATAACATGTGTTCGTACAGCACACGATCTTCACTTTAGTAAGTTGACGTCATGTTACAATTGGATCCTGGCACCGAAAAGATCCCTATTCTCCCGGTGGGTCACATATGTTCAATTTAACATGCAAACATGCAGGTAGCTATTATACAAAAAGTTGACGTCAGACATTTGTGGAGAATAATAGTCACATTTCTCTTATTTTAGAAGATCCTTCCAAAGTTTTGGCGGTGGGTCCTCACGCAACGTGTGAACCGATACGGATGTTGATACACCAGGGAAGTGTGGGTATACATGATAACCATTACGTATGGTGGTGGTGGTTGTTGTATTATGTATGGTGGTGGTGGTGGTGGTGGTGGTATTATGTATGGTGGTGGTGGTGGTATTATGTATGGTGGTGGTGGTGGTATTATGTATGGTGGTGGTGGTGGTGGTGGTTGTATTATGTATGGTGGTGGTGGTTGTTGTAATATGTATGGTGATGGTGGTGGTTGTATTATGTATTGTAGTGGTGGTGGTGGTATTATGTATGCTGGTGGTGGTTAAATTATGTATGGTGGTAGCTATTATACAAAAAGTCAGACATTTGTGGAGAATAATAGTCACATTTATCCTATTTCAGAAGACCCTTCCTCAGTTTTGGCGGTGGGTCCTTACGCAACGTGGGAACCGATACGGATGTTGATACACCAGGGAAGTGTGGCTATACCTGATATATATTTTTTTTCAGAGATCCCATCCTGCAACATAACCAGTGAGATAGACACAGATACAACTGAAGAACTGTACAACCGGTCCGTTACAGTGGACCTGAAGGACCTCTTCTGTTCTACAGCCTTCAACTTCACCCTACAAGTCGGAAGTTCATGGCATCACGTGCTGACATCTGAGGCTGTTGGTCAACCCACAAATACAAACACAACAGTGATTCTAACGGACACTACCTTTGGAGATGTGACGCTTGTTTTCAACTGTACCAATCAACAAAGGACTGTCACCTGCGGGGGTTTAACGCATATACCCAAGAGCAAGTATAATTCTTTATCATATAATGGGTAGGTTTCTCGGCAGGATAAAGACAACGGATAAAAACGATATCCGTTGGGGTCATATGCGGATAGAGATGCAAATATCAAAGGTCAAGTAGGGACTACTTTCACTGTTTATAAACAAATATGGCGTCGCCCTCGTCATTCGGCGATCGAGTCAGAATTAACCATCGGAAATCTGGATAAACAACAGGGATAATTGCTATCATTATCAAAAGAACAGTCTAATATACTGAAAATTAGTGTCTAACTGTGACGTAGCTAAGGCATTTTATAAGTTTTGGCAACTTTGGAGATATAAATTTCGAAACACTTTTGCCAGGGCACGAGGCCTAGCCAAGCGGGATCAGTAGCCATATATGTGCTTGTAGACCTCTGCGGCTTGAAATCTTCTCCACAAATTAAAATAGTTGGATTTGGCCTAAATATATTTGAATTGTTACCTTGTTTCGTTTTGTCGCTGTGTGTACATCTGACTACACTCCTTAACGTTATGACAGGACAGACCGACTGTCAACAACGTCTGACCGTGGCCGTGACGTCTCATAGACTAGGGTTAGAGTAGCTTCCCTTTGACAAAGGGCAGATATTCTAGCGGACAGACCGATGGATTGCCGCGAAAGGCAATTAAAAACAATTGTTGTTTTGCGTATATGTTGCTTCGCCACTGGATAAGAAACAGATTTCAGTTGGAACTATATTGGCTACTGTCACTGTCCGACTGACACATCACTTACCCTATGACGTAATAAATATTAATGCGCGCATTCCAGGAAAACTCGCAATGTTTCGGTAATGTTTGTGAGAGAGGGAAAGCGATTTTGAAGCACAGAAATTAAAGAATGACATTATATGATAAAGAGGTTATCACGCTTGTGTGTTTGGGGATGGTAAATATCCTGTATTAGGAATAAACACTATGTTTTTAGCTCGCCAAGGCTCGCTAAATACAATGTTTATTCCTAATGCAGAATATATTTACCATCCCCAATCACACTCGCGTGATAACCTCTATTTATCACAACGTTTTATAAATATGCTGCTGTGTAGCTAAGATATTATTAACGAAGAGTCAGTTCGTTATTGTAAATTATTCTGCTGTTTTCTGACAAGCCCTATGTAGACATTCGACAAGTGATATTTTTGTTTGAATCCATTCACATTCTAAAGGAATATTTGGATAACTAAAAAATATTCTTTACAAGTTGGCAAAATCCGTTAGTTCAATTTATCAAAGATCCTGGGACATCTGGTACAGGTACGTACGACAGATGTGGCAATAGTTGGACAACGTAAGAGCTATCGCGCGTGGCCCGAGACTACTCAAAATTGATTTTAAACATTTAATTCTAGTGCAATAAGTCAAACTGACACAAAGATGGAACAAAGTTGTCACTGCAAACAAAGATGATACCTAGACGTGTTTCCGCATCGACTTGAACAGTGTGAATAATGCCATCCATTCAAATGCTTAAGCTTGTTATTTTTCTCAAGGGAAATTCTACCAGGCCAATCCAAAAATAAGAATATTTATTACTAAAGTACTGTCGGAAATGTTAGAAAATTGCTTTTCTGGCTTCATTTAATAAATACGAGTCATGGGGCTTTAAAATGAGCATATATAAAAATAACGCAAATTGGCCTAATCTAGCCTGTCGAAACTGTGATTGTGATAACCCTGAAAATATATTTTTACAGGTAAAATGATGATAAACTTAGACATATTCGTGTGTTGTCATGCATGTACGAAATGGCCTATAATCTGAGGTAATTACCTTAAACCTGTCCCAAGGTGATGACCTTACACCGTCCCGTGCATTCTCACAGGTGCAAATGTCACCGAGTTGGGGGTGGTCTCAAAATATTGCTGTTATTGTACTTTATTGATGTGCGTTGATGGGGTAGCAAAAAAGTATTTGTAGTTCTACAGATGGTATTTTGAGGTAGCATTTATCTCCGGTGATGGCTTAAATGAATCTGTACTTTTGAATGTTATGTTATGTCTTGCCACGAACCCTTTACACTTAGTCAGGATTGACCTCAAAATGTCTGACTGGCGTCCTTAAGACAACGTGACCGTGTTGTGCCGCCAGCACATATGTCTTGCATTTTACTGGTTTCTTACTGAGCCGACTTTTCTCGATGAGTTGAACTTTCGTGTCGTATGGTCTGAAGTCGACAATGTCATATATTCCTGTATGGTCGCTTTCAGACTCCTCATGGTTGAGCGACAGTATCTGATTCTCGGACGTTATATTAACTGGCGATATCCATGACAATGACAATGATGTTGTTTAAAATTGGCAATAACTGAAGTTCCAACCAATCCATTAACACGTCACCTCCTATAAATTCCTTATGAGAATCACCAGTTTTCTTTTTCGCCTCACAACCTAACACACATCCATCAATAAGCCCCATACCGTGGATTGCAGCGTGCAAAACAATTACATGATGACCTTTATCTGATGGTACCATGGGTGGTTTTTGTCCATCTGTCGGTAGCCACATGTAGTCAGTGGAATGATTCACCAAGGTAAATTATCTGGACGCCCTGACTGTGATAGTTATGAATGGTCCGAAGATAATGTTACCTCATAGACAGGATGGAATATTTTCACCCTGAAAAGTGCACGGTCATCGTCACGCGCAGTGTATCGAAATCCCATCTCTCGGAGCGCAATAGTTAGTGATGTCCGCGCCGGGAAAGATTTATTTTATCTTTAATTTCCTCCCACATTCTGCTACAAATCAGGGTTACCTTCTCCTCATACAGCTTGTACACTATATGCCTAATCACCTTGTATCAAAGATGTCTAATATCCTTTTTCGTCACAGTTTTTTATTTTTTACCACCCCTCTACGTGTTTTGTTTTATTTATCATACCGTAAACTTATTGAAAATGAAAACCCAATAGCCTGGACAGTTCGGTAAGTCACTCTCACTAAATTAATAAATAGTTTCCCTCTATCTCACTAAAGTGTAAAGAACCTGTGTACATTTCTTCGTACAGACTCCATGTCATGCACAATGGCTATGGCTATGCAAGTGATGTAACATGTATCATGGGAGCAATGTTAACAAAATACATGCAGAGTCATTTTGTCATTTTAGAAGATGCACATCTAGAACTGTTTTCCAAATGATTATTGTGTGTGGATTAGATGTTTTATGATGACTACATTATTATCATTATAACGAAGTCACGCACGCATTCTTCTATAGTCCGTTTCAGACTGCCATCATTGGAAATGTTTTCGTTCGATTTTGTCTCCTATAAACTTATCGATAGGACTCCTTGTGACTGAAATGTTTCAAAGCACAGGTAGGTCCATCGGTTGTTACTCGATATTTCAATAACAAGTCTGTGAAAAAGGATATCCTTTTTTAACAGGCAAAAAGCATTTTCTAGCATTTCCGACTGTACTTTAAAGTACAGACTAGTTGAAATAAAAATGTCCTTGTTATCATGTTTGATGTCATTCTGATATTATACGTCATGAAATGAGAATTCTCTCGCTGTTTGATGATCACAGGGTTTAATATCACATCTATTGTTACAGATACTGACAAGGAAGACAAGAACAGAACAGCAGCAATAATTGGATCGGTTGTTGGTGTCTTGGTTGTTGTGGTCATCACTATTGGGATTATTATTGGTTTGGTAACGAGGAAACAACCTGTTTAATTGACTTGAATCTATGAAGGCTCATCCTCCGACAAAAACAAGGCAGTGTTTTACGCGAGGTGATGACATTCTGCATGGCGACATGACCATCGCATTCATTCCTCATTGCGTTTGATCAATGTATATCTGAAAAAAATGTTTGTTCGCAACATTTTCTAACCTGGCAAATTCAGTTACAAGGAAAGCAGATTGTATCATTTTATAACTAAGCCGTTGGTTCCATGTAAATCTGCAAACACATGATGTTAAGCTCCAAAATGCTTTTACCCAAGGTTAAGATCAATGGCGGATCTCTAATATTAGAATATGGCGGTATTACTCAATCGTGCTTATGTAGAATACCTTTATTTAGAGGATAAGAGTCAAGTAGATTTGATGTCATGCTCGCTGTGACCAAGGCCAAATCTCATTATCGAGACAAACATCGAGATCTTGAAGATCAGTATTTTTATCATAAGTAGATTTGAGAATGTGTACCCTAAATCATCACTAACATGACTCGATAAAACGATCTGCGACGAATGTGAAAAATCGCCAGATCTGAGCTTTGCCATTGATCCGAGTCGTGTGTTTGTATCCCCAAAATTAAGACCCAGAAAATGAAATTGCAAATGCTCATAAGAAACATTTATAGCTTTCTTCACGAGAATGTCGGCCCACTTCCTCAATCCTGGGGATTTTCTGGCATCAAAAGTACATAATTGAAAAATTAAATAATCTACATATCCAAACTTTTTAACATGTATCACTTGAGGTATCAATAAACAAAAGATTGAAACTGTGTAACGGTCACACTACCTCACCAATTCTAGCAATCAAAACAAATTCCTGTTCTTATCTGTAATAACAGATGAAGTATTGCAAATGCTGTCACGAAAATACATAGCATCGATGTCTTTCAGACAGAACTGTTATATGTATTGAAGCATTAAACTTGTACAGTTTTCCATGTGTGTTATGTGAATAAAAAATGTGAATAAAATAATTAAATGTAACCAGAGGCTGGTCACATGAACGCAAACCTGACTATATAGATTTGTGAACATAGCGTTCTCAGCGAAATTGTCGGCCCGCTTCAACATTCCTTGGGATTTCCTAGCAAAACGAAAATGGAATTATAAATAAAATGTATAAATACAATAGACACGCCAGAGTTGAAATGTGTGACTTAGGTTTCCTGTAGGTATCACTAATATGGTGTTTTAAACTAGTATAACAGTCACACCTGAAAAGCCACACACTCAAAATGTTAATTGAGCTTATCGTATCGTATCACGAAGTGATCATTAAAGTACGACTGTCATAAGTCTGAATTAATGACTCGGAGTTAGTCATTAGTGCCGTATTCGCTTTGAGAAACTGGGCTCTGATAAATCAGAGGTTTGTGGAGAATTGTTACAAAAGTTTGTCTGTGATGCTTTGCGATACCCTTTTTTTATTTGTACGTTATATACATCGTGATGTGATTGATCTCTACTTTCCGATACAGTTTCAGGTATTCTCACCATTAATGTGTCAAGTGCCTTTTGTTTGTTGTTTATTACAGTTGTTTGACATTCACCTATGCAAACTAATGATTGATATTATGAATGTTCACTATAATACTGCGCAGGGTCAGCATTACATCTTTGTATTTATTAAAATATTGTTGTCACATGATGTGAATGTGATACCCATGTTGAATATTTTTGTAAGGATTTTTACGAGGGTAGATTGCCAAGTTCTGAGCCCCACATAGAAGGAATCGTGTAAAAGGGAAATCAGTTGTTGTTTACATAACATGATGTCTTTGAGGTGTATCCTTTACACATTTGAGTCAAATGAGCAGCGCAACTTCTTTTTTATGGTAAAATAGGCAGGGGTCTCTGAACTTTGGAAAACTGACACACTTGAGGAACGTGCAATCCAAAAAGGAATACACAAAAAAGAAGAAAAAAAAACATCCATGAAGAGTACAACACTAGGAAAGGATGTCCCTTCCTATTCCACCGTAAAGATGTGGGCAGCAGCTTTTAATGTCTATGACGTCAACACCACCAGAGATGATCAAGATAATCCACGATATATTAGTGCGCGTACTGAGAATGTCTGAGATTATCAGTTCCAAGGAATGATTACTTTCAATTATCTCATAAACAATAATCAGCACAGTGGAAGCATATTACTTCACCGCCACCAAAGAAGGCAAAGGCTGTCCCATCGGATTGAAAAGGTTATCTCCTTGTGTTTTGAGATGCCGAACGTGTCAACATGGTGGACTATCTTCATAAAGGCCAGACAATAAACGGAGCATATTTTGCTGCACTGGTGATGCAATTACGGGAAGAACTCATGGAAGCTGAGGAAAGACGTACCCTTCAATCAAGAAAATGCGTCAATGCACAAGTCAGTCATTACCATGGCTTCAATCCACATGAGTGGCTTTGAACGACTTCAGCACCCACCTTATTTTCCTGAATTGGCTCCCTAAAACTTCCATCTGTTCCCACACCTGAATAATGCTGCAGCCAATTTCGACTCCAACGTCGTAGCAGCTGAAAACGTTATGGAGAATGACCTTTACGAAGCTGGGATAAAATCCCTCCGACATCTTTGGGATAAGTGGTATCGTTTCCATTTTAATGTATTCAAGTCAAATCTTTCTATGTGAGGCTCAGAGCTTCTCAATAATCCCTCGTGTCCTGTGGATTGTTAACTGTCTTCATGCCTGACTTCTGTCATCATAATTATCATGTCAAACTGAGTGAGTGATTGTTTGGATTGTACTCCGTATATAGCATTAAACCGTCCATGCCTCAGTGGAGGCTCACACACTGTCAATATGAGTAAGTGTTCGTTACCAAATACAGTCAAAATGAAGATTCAACGTGTTCATAGTAACCATGAAGATTAAACGTGTTCTTGATCACCGGAAGAGACGCCTTCTGGTGTGTTACATGGTGAAACTCATCTGCAAATATCCAGTGGAATAAGACAGAGAATTATTTGAATAAGTGACAGGTCACCTGTTCTCAAAATGACCACCGGAAAATTTCCTTGGGACAACTTACAGTTGCATGATGAAATCGATCTGCAAATTAGGTCATACTTATGCTGGATAACTAAGGTGGAATATGATGGACAATTGTTTGAATAAGGGACAGGTCACCTGTTCTCAAAATGACCACCGGAAAATTTCCTTGGGACAACTTACAGTTGCATGATGAAATCGATCTGCAAATTAGGTCATACTTGTGCTGGATAACTAAGGTGGAATATGATGGACAAATGTTTGAATAATGTCACATGTTCTTTACCTGACCACCGGAAAGTTATCTTCGGATAACTTACAGTTGCATGATAAAATCAATCTGCAGATTAGACTCACCTATGCTGAATAACTAAGGTGGAATATGACGGACAATTGTTTGAATAAGTGACACGTCACCTTTTCTCTATGTCAGTGTGTAGTCCCAATTGCTTTCAGTGTGTCCGGATCATTTTGTGTTTTATTTGTGTTTCTCCTACCACTAGAAACACTGACGTTCGGTTCTGTTTTTGCTATAACTATGACATAAATTACTTGTCCAAATTTACCTTTGAGTTAGAATGCCTACTAATAACTTTTGATATATGTATATTTTTCTAAAACTGTAAATTTGAGCTCCATCTTACTGCTGATTATGATGCGGTTTTAGAAAATATAAGGAAATTATATTAATAAATCTTTTAACCTTATTATCTGTGTTCTCTCATTCAAATTATCTAAAGAAAATATTCTAAAAGATGAGAACATAAGCAGAATATGTCTGTTTGATTGTGGTTTTCAAACAGGTGTACCAGAACAGATAATGTTTGTTTGTTTGTTTGTTGTTTAACGCCGCACTCAGCAATACTTCAGCTATATGACGGCGGTCTGTAAAAGAATCGAGTCTGGACCAGACAATCCAGTGATCGACATCATGAGCATCGATCCACGCAATTGGGATCGATGCCATGTATCTATCAAGTCAGCGAGCCTGACTACCAGATCCCGTTAGTCGCCTTTTACGGCAAGCATGGGTTGCTGAAGACCCATTCTAGCCCGGATCTTCACGGGTCAGAACAGGTAATGCAATACATCTATCGAAGTAAATTTATGTGAGATTGTCAATGTACCGTATAATATTTCCTCTTCTCGTAGATTCAACGGCAATTGAAAGCATGTACACGGGCAATCAATATGTTTTCTAAACACTGCAAAGAAACCGTGTTTAATTTGATAATACAGTTTATATGTTCTTTCTCTGACACTGCCCCACAGCCCAGTGACATATTCATACATGCTTTCCTCTCAAATGAAAAAGTAAAAGTACCGATCAACCCAATGATTTCCTTCACATGTTTAGAACAATGGAATACCGAGGCTTGTCTCTGTCAGTTGGTCTGCTGTTTACAGCTGTTTGTTTCTATGTATAAACATAAAAGTTCGTTATTACTGTACAATAATGCAAGGAGTAATTGTTGGTCGATTCTTAAATAATATCTATGAAAACAGTCAGGCTGTATGTAATGTACTTCCGTCATAAGATGAAACCATGGCGATGGTTTGGGAGATCTTGGATTCTAAAATTATGGCGACACTTTTAGTTTGTGTTCTGTTCAAAATGACTGTGCATTCAAAAACTGTGCAGTGTAAGCCTCAATTCAACGAGCTTTTGTGCTAAGTAAGGATAAGAATTTATGGATGAACAACTTCTTTATTACAATTAAGAGCGACGTTTCGGTGTAGGTTCTAACACCGTTATCAAGCAAGTGATTTGCAATTTTGGTTCTGATAAATGAAATTAATCATAAATAGTTCAAATAAGTTTGGAAACGTAACTGATTAATTTCAAGCTAGTTTTCTGAAATATAAATGTACTTGTATATAAGTGTCGGGTCTAAATGCCATAATAATAAAGAATATGTTTCTCATTTTTAATTAAATGGCATACACATACATGGTATACTTTAAAAAATATAACGGTAGTCATGGTGTGGCGATTAATCAACTGAAGACACTTCATCGTGAAGTTCTAGAAAACTTTATTGGCAGGTTTTCTACTGAATATGGAAAATCACTATGGCATGAAATTCTACTAGATATCATTGCCTTGTTTGTGATCCAGACACCCAGTCAGTTTGTCCGTAAATTTCAAACTGATTTTGTCTACCAACCATGTGTGAAACACACACTTTCAAGGGTTGTAGTTTATCAAAGACATATTTGGTAAAAAATCAAAGCAATGGTTACAATTTAATAATGTTCCGATTTGTCTTAACATGATATTTGGGGTGAGGGAGAGGATTATGACAATACATATTATTTATCCAATTTGAAATAATACATTCTCAGGAACACACAGGCAAGTAACAAATAACCATAATTTTCAAGCAAATTAAAAATAATTGTAACATAAACTGTATCTTTATACCATTTACATTACCTCCATAGTGTTTTCGATAATCAGACATCTGAGGAAATTCCTTCATGCGTTTATTTACTAAACATTGAACAATCTAAAAACAAGCAAAGCTTATGAATATGATAATATGACAAATAATAATAATGCAATCAATTCTGGAAATTATTAGTACGAACATTAGAAATTGGTCAACAAGTTCAGTACATACTCTCCTGAATCCTAAGCAAATCTCTGATTGTGTGTTGAACCAGTTTGGTTCGTTTGTTGTTTTATGCCGCACGCAGCAATATTCCAGGTATGCGACGGCGGTCTGGACATGACAGTCCAGTTGTTGATATCATGAGCATCGATCCACGCAATTGGGATCAAACCTAGAAACATAATCGGCGCGAACTGGGATTCGAACCCTCAATCATAGGTTTCTGGCGTGCCCAAGGGACGCAACTCTGCACAGCGCCTTAGACGACTGGGCCACCCGTTCCCCTGGTCCAAAGGACCTAACCCTGTATGCTTTGTGAATAAACGCACATTGTGCGATACTGCAAGCAGAGATAGGCTCGTGTTGTCTCTCGCTAGCTACTGGGGTGAATAGCTTATTGAACGAAGCTTGAATGCAACACCGCGGTGGGAAGTATGGCGTATTTAAAGTGAAATGCCCGTATGGCTCAGCTTTTGTAGGGACAGCCCGTGTTACTGCATTAGGCTGTCATGCCTTGCTCGGTGTGAATGAGCGGCCATGTGGGTGTAAGATGAGGGTTTGAAGCGCCGCAGCAACACTTGGGCATGCATGGGTAATCCTGGGACCGACTCACAGCTGGAATATTGCCGAGAGTGGCGTTAAACAAAAAACAAACTACCGAACTCTTTTGTCAGGGCGTGTAGTTTGTGTGACTGTTTAAGATTGTTTAGGTGTCGGCTGATGGTTATAACATTATACTCTGTATCCAACCTGACTGACCGCCTCCGTGGTCTAGTGGTAGAGCGTCCGCCCGGAGAGCGGAAGGTCCGGGGTTCTATCCCCGGCCGCGTCATACCAAAAGACGTTAAAAGATGGTACTTGTTGTTAACCTGTCTGGCGCTCGGCATTAAGGGGCTAAATCAAGGACTGGTCGGCTCGGAGTCAGTATACTGTGTCTGAGTGGGGTATTCATGTTAAACTGCGGCATGGTATCTCAGTGAGCTAGCACTATAAATCGGCATCAGTCCGGACTAGTACAAACAGCCACACAAACACACACACGTACATGCACGTCGCTATATAAGTGCAATAATCTTGGACGCGACGTTAAACCCCATTTCACCTCACCTCACCTAAATCTGCAAGATGACAAACAAAATCCTTCTTTGTACAATGCAAACAATACAAACGTAGCGGCTGATGAAAGAGACAATGATTTAATAATCTATATGCAATTTATTATTTATTCTAGTTCAATCTTTGGTATTTAACACTGAAGTCATTTTAAAGTTTCAAGGAGTGCTGTAATGGTGTGGTATTAGAATTAAATTAGAATATGAAGAGTGAAAAACAGTCACCATGTGGGATTTACAGTAGTAGTAGAAGTAAAGTGTTTTTTTATTAAAGTGTGACACGCACAACGCGTACAATATAAAATCGATGCACATAAGACAAAAGGTGTATGGAGTGCGTCCATCCAGACGTTGGCTTATGATACACTATATGCAATATATACAAAATATATACTTAATACATATAATGTGAGAGGAGGGAGATTTAGCTACGAAATCAGAAGACTCACAGGGAACAAGAACAAACTTCTCGATTTAACAACGAAAGAAAAAGAAAGGATAGATAGAGAGAGAGAGGTAATTTAACAATCATGGCGACGACTGTCGTCTCTTAAACATTTTAAAAAGCAAAGACATCGCTACAGAAGTGGTTCGGATGGTCAACATTGGTGACATGCCGATTGCGTCGTCTTGACCAAATATCGTCGACCGTTGCTCATGCTTTCATTCAGTAGTTTGTCCGAATCGATCACTTACAGGTCACTGCGATAGGGCTGTAATACAAGATAATACATTAAACAACTTAGCACATTTTAAAGTGTGTAGTTGGGGCTGCAGTATATCACGTTCCGAAAGACAACCAATTAAGGAACAAGAAAATTGCGGTAGCACTACCTCCCGCCACGGGGCACATTAGAATTCGCGGTGTTTACCTCAGTGCTGATTTTCTGAGAAAACCCATTGCAGTCCCTGTGCACTTAGCACAATAACATGCATCAAGGGCCGTTACTTTGGAAAAAAACATTTTTCAATGCCCCAAGTCTTTAGCTCAATCTTGACAGGTGTCTCTTATAAGCAAGCTAACTTCCATGTAGGTTCTCGGTAAACATGTCCCCCGAGAGGACAGGACGCACACAATCTAAAAACATGTAGGGACGTAAATTTAAAACAAATTGCAAACACACTGCAAGAACATTGCAAACACAGTGGCAGTAAGTAAAATTACATGATCAATTATCTGTGTAACTGTGTAAAACATAATTTACGGTACCAACTACGTTCCTATACAACGATTACAAGTTATCAGAAAATGCACTTTGGCTTCAATATTTTACATAAACACTTTGCTTGACGAGTGTTTGGCTTTGTACAATCAGCCACACACACACACACACACACACACACACGTGCATGTACGTCGCGATATAAGTGCAATAATCTTGGACGCGACGTTAAACCCAATTTCACCTCACCTCACTTAATTGAACGAAATGCACCCCCGAAATTTTGACATGATTTGGGGGAAGGTTTCTGTAAGTTATCGGGGCGGATCCAAAGTTGGAAGGTAACCGGACGGTTTCCGAAAAACGGAAACTTACACTTGTTTGCCATATTTAAACGCATTAACAGAAACACAAAGAGTTCAAGTCATCCTAAACCATCTTGTTAGGGCACTCGCTCGAAGCAATGGGCAGCACAACATGGGGTGGTTTGATAACAGCAAAGTGAACTAAAATAAATGCATGAGTTAGAGGTTCAAGATAAGGTTGCAAGTACGATCAGACAGTGAAGTGATGGATCTTTCTACGCACGTTCACGAAAGAAGGCATATATAAGTTGTGTAACTCGTGAAAGTTGACGTACCATCTTTCCTTCTGTTCTAATCATAAACAAAAATGAGTCTTTGATGGTGTTTGCATCTGTTCGCTCTTCGAGACCATGACGCTCTCTTAACTTCTGCCAGAGAGGTGCTGGAGACATGGAGGCTTTCACTCGCTACAAAATGAAATAAAGAATATGTCACAGTTATGTGTTTTGTTTGTCTAGTGTATAACGTTCCTAAATGTATGGGGCATTGGCGGCGGCGGTGTGCTTGCATGGTGGTCATAGTAATGGCTTTGGACGATCACACGGGTTCAAAACACCACAGTCAGTTAATGTATGGACGCCATGAAAGTATCTCTCTCTCTCCCTCTCTTTCTCTCTCTCTCTCTCTCTCGCTCTCTCTCTCTCTCTCTCTCCCTCGCTCTCTCTCTCTCTCTCTCTCTCTCTCTCTCTCTCTCTTTGATTGAAGTAGGTGGACTTTTAAACAAATATACCTTGATAAGAGATCCGTTTCTTTTGACAATTGTCATCACCATGGTTATAGGAATAGGGACAACTGACACCAGAGCTATACACCATCCGGCAGCCACGGCATATCCTGAGTACTTATAGTACCCGTATGTAGGATTCTCGTAGGTAGCCATAGTGAGAACAAGCACTATCTAAAATGAAAAGAAACGCGACAAAACAAACAATTCTATTTTAATCAAGAGGACCAGCATTATTCCTTTACGATATATACTTTTTAAATGGATATTCCACGATAATAGTTCCGTTGTTTTGATCGTGTGAGTAGCTGGTGTATGTTTGTGTATTTTAGGGTTTAATTGAAAAAGTCGTCACTTTTTATGACATAACAGGTGTAAGACACAGGTCTAGGCTAATGAACATTCATCTTAAAACACAATTTTCAGTATGGTATAATTGACTTATTGACATTTAGTACAGATTTCCCATGGATATGGAAATGTTTTTTAGTGTTTCAGTTTACATTATCTTATATATGCTTCTTCACTGTACTTTGTTAAATGACGTCACATAACATAATTAATGACGTCAACTTTCTGTTCATTATTGTTAATCATTAAGTCCTGATATTCGGGTGTGATTTTTGCGAAGCCCGTTTCGTGATTCATATATTATTTCATTCCTGCTCAGACAACAGATACATCCTTACTCATTTTAGAAAGTCACGATAAATAAATGTCATGATACAAAAACAACCCCAAACTTCAAAGAGTTACATAATTTCTGCCCCGAGTGAATGTACAGTATAACAACTGGACATTCATAGCTGATGGAAAGACATCATGAACAACCATTTCTTTTGAAGGAAGCTACCAGTAGGGCAGGACAAGTCATGCTCGCCCTTTTCGCGAACACCTGGTGCCATCACTGATTTGGTGTGATCTATTCATATAATTTTCACAGCTATTTTGCCTTTTACGTCCAGAGTGATTATTCTCTGGCATTGATATATTATATTTACATTAAGAATATTCATTAACACCTCAACAGTACCGACCGTGAAAACAGCAACTAAATTTAATATACAAGTTTACAGCTTAAATTACTGTGATCTCAATGAGGGTTATTGTGGATGAGGGGGGTGTTTGATAAAAGCACGACTACCAACGTGGCGGAAAGATGACTAATCATTCTGAATCTCCGCGAAGATTTCGAATTAGCCTTGTAGTGGCTGTTAGGTTTATCCAGTGCCATGTTTTATGACGAATGGATGACATTGTTACCATAGATCCCAATTACGTGGATGGACGCTCATGCTATCAATCACTGTATTGTCTGGTCCTGACTCAATTATTTACAGACCGCCGTCATATAGCTGGAATATTGCTGAGTGCGGCGTTAAACAACAACAAACAAACAAATCTAACACAAGCAAATGTAGATCTAAAATCTTTAAGATTGCATCTGCCTGTTCAAATGAGAAGTAAAGTATTTACATTCATATTTTGGCGGCTTATTAACTATGGCCCCAAATTCACACTTTTCAATAGAGGCATATACCGAAGGCATCCACTGTGTTCAGTTGCGCATGTTAGAATACCGGAGGAAATCAATATTTAATAAGGTCTTTGAAAGGCATTAAGAAGTGATTCACATAAGGAAGAGAAAATATGGATGTCAACTTCTTTATGATGTGGAACACAACGTTACGGAGTATGTCCTTACTCCATCAGGTGAATGAAGGAGTAAATATATACTCCCAAACGTTGTGTTTCTCATAATGAAGAAGTTGACATCCATATATTCTCTTCCTTAATATTTAATAAGTAAATTGCTATTTTCTTTCGGGAAACTGTGCCTTTCTGTAATATTCACAATTTCTAACGTGTAGCTGCAGTCCTCTGATGTAATGCAACAAGGATACAATGCACATATGCATTAGATAGTTGTGCGGTTCGAAACTAATTCAAACAACAGCACTAGTGTTACCAGCAAGGCCGCATGTATTAAGATGAAACATAGAAGCATGTAGGCAGCTGTCAGTGGCCTTCCAGTCATGGCCTCTACGTCAGCCGAGAAACGTTCAGCCTCTGAAGATGTACAATTAGATGATATTAATATATTATTACCATCAGTAATTAGATTTGTTTCTTGCTTTTACCAGAGTCAACAATATTGCAGCTTTATCACGACATCCTGTACATAATCGAGTCTAGACAAACCAGAGACATTATTAACAACTTTACACGCTATTGAAGTACGATGAGACCAGTGGGTGTGTGTGTGTTTGTGTGTATGTGTTTGTGTGTGTGTGTTTGTTTGTGTGTGTGTGTGTGTTTGTGTGTGTTTGTGTTTGTGTTTGTGTGTGTGTGTGTTTGTGTTTGTGTGTGTGTGTGTGTGTGTGTGTGTGTGTGTGTGTGTGTGTGTGTGTGTGTGTGTGAATATACGGAATATTCGCCCATTTTTATTTCATTCACCCTGACTTGTACAGTAAACTACGGTTATAACGAACTCAAAGGGACTACTTATTTGAGTTCGTTATAACCGTAGTTCGTTATAAGCATAACTACAGCAAATAGTCGGTACCAAAAAGTAAGTTCGTTATATCCGTCAGTTCGTTATAAGCGTGTTCGCTATAACCGTAGTTTACTGTATTGTGTTTTCAGTTGAATCCAAAAATCATTCCAACTGAGCTGATCCTAAGGTTTTTTTTATAAGGGGGGAGAGCTGTGTTTATTTGTTTGCAATCTATCCTTTTTGTGTCGTCTTTAAGACTATTAAAACCGACACGAAAAGCATTGCACTTCGCTTATAGAACTACAACTATCACATTTCGAAATAACAGAAACATGTCCAGCTGTAATGTTAATTGTTATTTTTATATTTTCACATCTGAATTTCAGACACAGTGATATTGATGGGAAGGTTACTCACCGTATAACCAGCCAACGGCGATACACTGAAGTACTGCAGTGACAAACAAGATGACTGCCGCGACGTACCAATCCATTAACGTAAACAGGTACACGCCCCCCTTAAATATATATGTACAGTTATACAGTCACTGAATTATGCAGGCAATATGATCTATCATTACTTGCCAGTGAAGAGATCACCCGTTTAATAAACATACAGCTGTATTACACATTGTGTAATACCAAAACGTGTGCTTATGTACTCTCGGAACACGTTTTACGAACAAATTTTGAAAGCTCTCGACATCCCTTGGCTTATTCAACGACATTGCGGGTGGAGATGATAGATCACTGAGAGGAGCTTATGCACACTCGATGACCCCAGCAACCTTGTTGCTAGGCTGACGTCACATGGCATTGTTTCGCCGATGGATCTTGCAACAAAATTCCACAAATTACGTCATCGGGTACTGTGACGTGATTGTAAACTTTGAGGTGCAGGGCCCCGTTCCACAAGGCGATCGTTCTGTAGCGCAACGACGGTCGTTGGCCTAAGTTAAAGTATGTGAGTTGCGATAACCTTAGCGCTACAGTAGTCTTGTGGAACGGACGCCTACATTCTGAAGGTAGACCGTTGAATGGTATTGAATTCATACGTTTCAACTTTTGACGTGTTTGAAGTATTATTATGTTGACCTCAATTGGATTTTGCCGTGGGTCCTGTAGGTGACAGCCTATTCACACTCAACAGCATAATTCTAAAATAATTATAAATGGCAAGTAATAAATAAAATACTAAACTCGCTCCCGTGTAAAACAAATTTTATGAAGCGAGTGAATAGTTGTGGTATCTAACGAGCGAAAGCTGTTGATTACTGTTAAATGCCTTTTAAATATAAGTATGTATGGGTATATTAAAGTTTAATGAAGAAAACAACTCACGTGAGTGGTAAAGATAAGCCCCACAAGGAACGTTGCTCCCATGAACACACAGGCCACGACAGTCTGCAGGTGCTTGACATGAAACCGTCCTGGTAGGAGTTCTTTAATACATCTAAGGGCTGATTCAGCATTCGCGAACTATAAGACAGAAACATGATCATTTGATGTAAAACGCTTGTTCAAAATTGGCAATATTGTTAAGATAACAGCCATGTGTCAAAGAAATTGTGTATCAACTTTCGAAATTCATAAAGCTATTTACTGTTTACGGCAACATTCTCTTCCTTACATCACCACTTTTATATTTAAATTACAACCCTATTATACGAGTTAAGTGCTTCGATTTCGACTTCGTAAGGTTGGTTGGTTGTTTTACGCCGCACTCAGCAATATTCCAGCTATATGACGGCGGTCTGTAAATAATCGAGTCTTGACTAATCAATCCAGTGATTGACATCATGAGCATCGATCCACGCAATTGGGACCGATGACATGCATCAACCAAGCCAGCGAGCCTGACCACCCGATCCCGTTAGTCGCCTCTTACAAGCATAGTCGCCTTTTACGGCAAGCATGGGTTGCTGAAGACCTATTCTAACCCGGATCTGCTGGAATATTGCTCGACTAAACTTGACTATTCGAACGTTGAAGTCATCCCTCTTGTTACACCATCTTGTTGATAGCTTATTGTCACTATGAATCTCTATGCATAGATCTGAACGTGACAAAGATGAGGCCGTTTTACAGGCATCTTCCCGAGGCAAGTGCGTTAACTGACTATTAAAGTCCAGTTTCCATCCTTGCCGAACTTGGCTGGTATTATGGAGTTTGATTTTGGCAGGACCAACGAGTCTATGCATAGTCCAATCAAAATCTCGCACCGAAATCGAAATCCGGTTTGTTAACTGTCATGCGGAGTTCCGTCGATTGCAGGATTTGCAAAGCATGTGCACCGCCAACTCGTTGTCAACAGATATTTTCCAAATCTTTTCAAGTTTTTGATCAAGGTGCTCACATGATTTGATGCACTTCGCGATGTAAGACCCGTTTATTACAATATAGATCTTGATTCTCGATCAGATTGTCTTGTCTGGGCGCCGCCATTTTGTTTGAAGCAAATGCAAATGATACGAGAGGTGGAATCTTATTGGTCCATAGGTGAGGCATAGAAGGGACATAACCGGTAACAGCCATATTGTGACGAGAAGTACATTAATGATACATATATTCAAACCAAATAAAAACCTGTCAACGATCGACAGTAAAATGACTAGATTTATCACAGATTATATTTAAAACTAGTAGATAGCCATAAAAGTGTAACACCATACAAAATACAGTACAAGATAAAAATGAGCTATAGATCGCCAGCCACTGAAGAGAGATCACCATGCTAGGGTCCATGGGGATTTACAGTACTTTTGCTACATGCAAGGACACCAGCCGGATTTACATCATCCCTTAAGTTGTTGGCGATTATTGATAAAGTTAACAAATTTAAAACAACACATATGCTACGATTAAAAACGTGGTAGAAATAAACATACCTTGAATGACGTGGTCTTACATACTCTCTCCAGGGGACAATCATTTTACACTACTTCAACCCCCTTCGAGGATACAGCCACTAACAATCTCAGTTATCACATTTATTCTGCCAATTATAAAAACACTAGATTATATACACAACATATTAATCAAAATTAATGTAACAATTCAATTTCTTTAAAAAAAAAACAATTACTAAATGAGAATTTTTGAAAACAGGGAATATCCATCATAAGAAAATCCTTGACAGTTATAACCGCGTGGTTACTCTACCTGATGTGACGACGTCATCAATAGGCTGATGCAGACTGTGAGCCAGGAACCCAACTGTTGCAAAGACCACAAAGCCAGCAAACACACTTGTCAACCCACCAACTACTGTCACAACGATTGTTGTCCTGTTTCAAAATATTTCATGTTAAGCTTCACGTGTCCTGAGAGGCCTGCGGACAATCATTACGTTCTGAATACTAATGTGAATTCAGTACTGCCATTGGATGCTCTGTGCCATATTTAAATATGAAGTAAAGTGTAAAAGATTGCCACTTGATCCGATGTTCATTTCCTGTTTCCGTCACAATGTTGTGATAATAGCGATGTGTGAAACTGAATAATTTGTTTGTTTGTTTGTTGTTTAACGCCGCACTCAGCTGTATTCCCGCTATATGACGGCGGTCTGTATATAATCGAGACTGGACGAGACAATCCAGTGATTGACATCATGAGCATCGATCCACCCAATTGGGATCGATGACATGCATCAACCAAGTCAGTGAGCCCGACCACCCGATCCCGTTAGTCGCCTCTTACGACAAGCATAGTCGCCTTTTACGGCAAGCATGGGTTGCTGAAGACCCCGGATCTTCACGGGTCGAAACAGAATAAGCAAACAACGTATGTGTGATGTTTCATCAATGCAGGCACTCGTGAAGAGCAACCTCCTCGTGGTGAGTGCTGGGTAGCGCTAATAGCTCTTCCCCCGTGTGGAACCGGGGTAGAATATTTCCACAGCACCCCATTGCTGGTCGTAAGAGGCGACCAAAGTGGGCAGCCCGTTTGCCGTGGGTTGCGTCCCTGTGTCGGCGGAGGACGGGAGTCTGGTAGTTGAGGGCACTGGTTCCTGGAACTGTGTTCCTTTGCCCAACACACTACTTCGACCCTTACTTCGCCTAGACGGGTGGTAAGATGGGCCCGGTCTTATCAATCGGCTGGTCATGCCAGGCCCTGTGCGTAATATTGTATATGCACACGTGTGTTGTATTTTAATGTATATTTTGGCCTTGGCCGTCCCTAACTTGTGTGTATTCTAACTTTTGGATTGAATACATTGCCTAGAGTCTTACGCCAGAAGGCGGTGGCTCATGGGCCAATCTGGTACTTTCGACCTCTGAGTTCTGTATGTCTTCAATTTCTTGCCATGGGCCGGACCAGCCTGGCATTTTATTTGTTAGACAAATGCAGCTATTCATGTTGTTTTTACTGGAGTATAACACCTCTGTATCCCTGATGTTTGCATGTTGGAGATCCGGTGCAGGAAATCATCGCTCTTTGTAGCACTCCATGGTGGGTGGGGAGCAGGGGTGCTGAATCAATTACTATCATTATGGCACACAATCATTCTGGTTCAAACCGCACTGACAAGAAGAGACGTCT